AATTGCTTTTAGCTTGTTTTGGTGCCCTGCAGCACAGACTGCCTTTTTTCAAGAAACCATTGGGCAGAGTCCCCTGGTCAGTGCCCTGCCCAGCTCTAACCTACAGTTGTTCCAACAATGTTTGATTTAGTTTTTTGAACATTCTCTCCTGTGTGAAACTTGTAGTTTTTGTCTTATTACTTTTGACAAATTGAGCGGTGTGGATCAAAGAGGATCCTCCTGCATGAAGATCAAGGTGTTTCCTTGTCACAATTCATCACTTCCGGCAAAGATGCCTTGGATTGTAAAATCCAAGATATCCTCAGGTATATGCTCCCTTGGACTGTGTGTCTGAGGTGTCAATCTGAGGCTTTCTTTGCCCTCAAAGATTGCCTTGGATCATTTACTTGGACATCACGTCCAAGGCTATTGCCATCTGAGGATGCCTTGGATTTTCCAATCCAAGGCATCTTTGTTGGCTGTGCATCTGTAGATCATTTGAAATATGTGTGCCAAATCCTCTGTGATCATTGTTTGGCTTTTGCGGCTAGCAGTGAGGACATCCCTTTCTCATTGGTAGGTAAGATACTCTGTGGCCAACACACACATTAGGTGTAGTTAAATTGATTCTACAGAAACCTGGTCAGACCGGCAGTCACAGTTGTTTTGTCTGCTGCACTGATGAAAGCTTTTTCTGGATCAACCATTCTTGGAATGGCTGTACATCAGAAAAATTAGATGAATAGTCCTTCAGGTTGTTTGGAAGCACAGTTCAACTTCACCACTACCAACACAACTCATGACTAAAAATTTTCACAATTCACTTCTCCTCAACTCATGCATTCTATCACTAGTTAGACATCCCAATCTTTAGGTCTGTCATTCAATCACCCACAGCCTCTGTTCTGTTCCACAAAGGCCACCCATAGATTTTGTCAACCACATCTTGAGTATGCCTTCCAAAGACTATAAAAGGCCTCCCTTACAACCAAATGGTAAACTCAACAATCACCAATGTTACAATTTTTCAACCAAGACATGTGGTTGAAATATGGTCAAGCACAGTATCTTTAACCACTATTGATTTGCCTCATTTTTAACTCCTACAACTCTATTCCATTGATTTTCTTATATTTGACTGATTTCACTTATTTGAATTTTCTCATATACCTCGTTTGAATATATGGCCTTGAAGTTGCAGGCCTGCCAATGGCCAAAATGAATAGGTTCAGATCACCTCCAATTTGGAGTTGTGGCTACCAGACTCTCATGGCTCAAGCTCAAAGTGTGTGAGAAGTTGAGCAGAAGTTGAAGGCTAGAGGCTTTGCCATTTGTAACAGTGATAACACCTGGGGAAATCAGGTGTGGCATAAGCTAAATGGCACAAGCCAACACAAGCTTTGAAGAGCTGCTAAAAACAAGTAACACACCTGATATACACATAAGAAGATTAGTAGAAGTAAATAAAGAAAGAGTAAAGAGAAAAAGACAAACCTGTACATAAAGCAACAGGATATGTAGGCAAAAGATTAGGCGGTAAGAGCAAGTTGTGAGTAAAAAGATTTCCTTTCCAATGAGGGAAGAAATGAAATCACACACAAGTTTAGTTAAATAAGAAACATTCACAGCACACATGATTTGAATTAATAGAAAACATAACACTCTTGCAGGTCACCTATGACCAATTCCCAAATAAGAAAGAAACTTTCAACGCTCTGACTGCACACCTATACATAAAAGAAACTAATCCTTCTTACATAAGCTGCCTAACTGCAATTTGTCTTGATCTCCTCTCATGATTTGTTGACCAGAAGTACTTGACACACACTTGTTGTAACTACATAATAAAGACTGGCCCGTGGTATAATAAATACCACAACAGTATGGATAGAGACTGGCAAGTTCTTTTGTTTTGTTTGCCAATTGATGCACGTGTCTCATTAATCTTCTGTTTCTGTAGGATCTTGCCCTTAAACACCCCACTCATGCCATCCAATGCTGTATTCACCAGTGCCATAGCCAGGTGAGTGTTTTTCAATCTCCTATGACAATTGATACAGTCATTAATCTTTTTGATTTAGCTTGTCTTTGTTTCCCAGTGATGGCCCTCCCTCCCCTGATGAATTGATGAGCCATGTGGAACGGCCCGTTCATCGTACAAGACTCTGATCCTAATGGTATGTACCAGTTGATGACGTCAAATGGTCATGTTTTACAACTATGTGTCAATGGGTCAAGACTTAAACCATACATGGGCAAGAATATCCACGAGTTTTTCTTTTCATCCCAAAAATTCCATGACCGCGACTCAGCAGCCAAACATATGGTTGAAAAGATCATTGATCAATCACAATTCTTATTAAGATTAACAATTCAAAACAAAGAAATAGATATTTTACATTCACTTGTACATGAGTTCAAATTTGCGCTGTTGGAGGTAGAAGAAGAGGTTGACATGGCAGAGAGGTCCTTTGGTACAAGCAGGGACGTTTGACTCTTAAGTGGGGGATGGTGTAATTCCGGAACTCCCTTTTCCCTTTGTTTCCTATTTTAGTTTTACTTTACTTTTTGTCCAACACTTTTGGAAAAGCCATAGAGACTTTTCCTACACGCATATTTCCTTTTCTCATCTTTATTAAACATAATCATTACTGGTTTCCAAATTAGGGATTGTTATCTAAATCCAACAACTTGTATCTTTTCCTAAAATCAGGTTCTTAACCAGAATCCTCTTGTTGTAAAACTCATATATTGTATTTCCTTTTACGACGACTAGTGTTTTTTGAAAGCACTTATAAGTGGATTCATTCCTCACTGAAATGAATCCTCAAGTCACTTTGCTTACATTTTCAAAGCATTGAATTTTGTAAGAATCACAAATTCCACAGGATATGAAAAGCACATGTTCCAAAAGGAAAACAATATGGCAAAAGCCAAGGCAGGCTATCAAAAAGCAACCAAACACAAATTATGAGAAGCAATATCAAACAGAAAACATGATGCTGTGTTTGGGAGCACAGAAGGAAAGGTTCAGAAAAAGCTTGGCTTGTACTACTACAGCTGAAAACTAAATGCACCATTTCAAAAGCTCAGCTTTGAAAAGTTGCCAGGCAATGGCTTCTTTGTTGCAGATATTGTTATAGGTTGCCTCATATACAATGGTGCAATGTCTGTGGATATCAAAATCACACCTTCTGGAACAAATTTCAGTATAAATAGAGACTGTCTGGATGGTGAATTTGGGGTAGCATTGATCCAGACTACCCACGGCTGCACATAGGTGAGCCTAAAGTGGGAAATGGAGTAAATCTGGTCATTCTCCCTGGTGTAACACTGAAATTATGTCTTCACAACTGTATACAATAGATTTGGGGGGTGAATCCTGAGTGAAGAATATTAAAGATGAACTTTGGGCTCTTCTGGCATAAGGACAAGGCCACCATTGACACCCTCATTGTTTATGTATTCAAAGGTTGCCTGCAATATTGTTGACAAACCTAGCGACTCTGTACCTCCTACTCACACTAACTGCATCATCACACACCAACTAGATGTCCCCAACAAAGAACAAACATTGATGGTCCAATTCAACATCTGGAAACTTGTTGTACCCAACATTGACAAAACTATCCCAATTAGCCTGTGTCTTTGCAAGCATCTCCCTCTTACAATCTTGTTGGTCCTAGGAGGTTGCCACATCATTGTCTGGGAATGATCATACTTTTCTGAAACTTTCTCCAGTATGCACTTCACAGCTTAAATCACTCTTTTTCCAGCACAGATCAGCACCCAGGTTGTCCAGAACTCCACTGCCTACATAAAATTTGATTGATCACATAACTTGTCCAGTAAGCAATAAAGCCATGGTCAAATGTTCAAGCAAATGACCCGTCATGTAAAGAGTGTAGGAATTGAAAACAATACTTCAAGTAATGAAGACCTTTGAAATTTTTATATAAATGCACTAGGCATGGCTGGAATTGCTTTACACAAGGCAATGTGCACAATTTTCAAAACTAACAGACCAGGGAAATGGTTCAGTTACTACAATTCCATTATATGTATGTTGGATCTTGAGAAATAATAACAAAGTCTTTGACTAGCTCAAGGAAGATTGAACATTAGAATGCACCACTGAAAACAAGAAATACAATTCTTCCCAGGTTGATTCAGGTCAAAAACTGGAATTTGGACTTTTTTATTTTTCTTCAAGGTTCAAGATGTAATGGAATAGCTGTACCTTGTGTGAAGGATCACACAGGCGACCTTGACTTTGGAAATAAGTGATTCAATAAAAATAATGTCACAGAGCCAACTGGGGTTCTGATCCGAGCTACGGGGTTCCTCGCGAGTCCGCTTAGTAGTTTCGGGGCCGGTGGGAGTTCCGGAGCCTGTGACATCTACGAAAATGATTGATTCCGAGTGATTTCAATTGATGTCGTATGGGTGAACCTTGAGATCTATAGCGATCAATAGAGTGTCTCATTCAATAAAAATAATGTCACAGAGCCAACTGAGGTTCTGATCCGAGCTACGGGGTTCCTCGCGAGTCCGCTTAGTAGTTTCGGGGCCGGTAGGAGTTCCGGAGCCTGTGACATCTACGAAAATGATTGATTCCGAGTGATTTCAATTGATGTCGTATGGGTGAACCTTGAGATCTATAGCGATCAATAGAGTGTCTCACATGTGATCTGGATGACTACTGATTACATAATAAACTGATTTAATTTTCTCTCTCTTTCCTTCTCTGCTCACTCATGATTCACCCTTGACCTTGTTGACCGGATTATCGACTTTTGAAAATTTTCAACCAAAAAGAACATTCGACCCATCAAAAAGAAACTCAAAGGGACAAAAAGGAAAGAAAGAGAGAAACTCAACATCAGCTACTATTGATTATTGATTATCATCTCATCTTAAAATCGATTTATTTAGATAACCAACAAAGATTGATTGCTGATTTGATTCGATTGATTGATTGATTGACTGGACAATCGATCCAATTCAAAACCAGAATTCAGATGGGTAATAACGCTTCATCAAACCTTCATTCTGGTTCATCGAGGAAATCTAGTTCAAAAATCTCACATCACACTACGGCTGCCGCTTCGTTGTCTTCTTTCAATACTCAAAGTAACAATCATTATGCTCATAACCACAATCAAAAACAAACCTCATCATCATCATCTCCCAGGACACTGTTTAACTCTACCAACAACAACAACAATAACAATAACAAGCGCTCTTTATCCAACCAGGCTCGAAGACGCAAGAGTCTTGACTTCCCCGATCTAGAGCCATCCTATGAATCATCTCCAACTGTACCAACTCGTCGTGAACCAACTAATCATATCTCACATCCTGATGCAAATCCCTCAAACCCATCACATCGATTATCTTCTCATGGATTTCAAGATTTGGCTCAGTTTCAACTCAAGTTACCTGCTCGAGAACGAAAAAGTCCTGCACTCCGATCAACTACTTCATCATCATCGACTTGTCCAGGTGTGCTAACAGGAATCGAAGCCATGAGACTTGATGCGGGTGAAGACTTTATTCCACAGCCAGAAGATCACACGGATTCGAAAATACCACCAGTACTCTTGGGCTTCTCTAATCTCACTGCTACCGTTGATCCTGGTGAACCTCCAGAACCGAAAAACGCACAGCAACCTGGCCAAACTCTACCCGCTTCCCCTTCTCTAATCCAACCAGATCCAGACTTGAATCCAGACTCAAACGACATCCCACCTCTTTTCCCTCCACTCGATGTCTCAACTGCTACAAGTCTTCCGCCTCTTCAACAACCTGTCGAAACCGTAGTGCCTCCCCTTCCGCCAGCTATCCTTCAACCTTTCCCACCTCCGCTACCCGACCTTGCATCAATCGATGAGCCAGTCCCAAAAGTCGGCGCAGCTTTGACCACAGCCGTAACCGAGACAATAGCAGCAGCAACGGCTGTTGTTCAAGCTGCACCTGCACTTGATATTGGAGCTGGACCAGAAGGTGTCCCAACATTGATCACATGGAAAGAACCTGCTAACGAAGTTTATGTGACTGGAACGTTTAGTAAATGGAAACAACAGATCAAGTTGCGAAAACCACCTGTGAACAAGTTTGTTTAATTACTCTCCTTCTGTTTCACTTCTTGCGATATTTGCCTTTGTCCTTACTGATCCCTTGCGATTTCATGATGGTCTCTGTTTCCAAAATCGCGCCGATCAACCTACAGTGAACCTAATCAAGAAAACAACTTCTCAGCGTTAGTCGCACTACCACCAGGACCACATCGCCTAAAATTTATAGTGGACAAAAGATGGAAAACATCCAAATATTTACCCTCAGCAACAGACGATAAAGGAAATCTAATCAATTACCTACAAGTAAATCCAGGAGATCAACCTTTTAGAGGATTAGGTCCTCGAGGAATATGGAGTGGGTATACATATGCCAATTGGTCATTAGGATCATCAATAGGAGGACTCTCAGGAATGTTAGAAGAAGAACAAGAAGAAGAAGAAAGATGGACAACTGAAATCCCATCTGCATTAATTTCATATGAAGAATATCATGATGAAGAAGGAATTGAAGGAGAAGAAGAACCGGGACCGAATTCAGCTGGATTTGCAGCTGAACCACCTAAATTGCCGGCTCAGTTAAAAGAAGGAATTTTGAATATATCTTCTAGACTTACAGATGGATTAAGTATTAGTGATGATAATTCTTTGTTACCTAAACCTGATCATTCGGTTTTGAATCATTTGGCTGCTAGTCCTATTAAACAAGGATTACTTTCTGTGGGAGTTACTTCGAGGTATAAGCGTAAAGTGAGTTGCTTTTTTTACTTCTTTTTCTTTGGTAGTTGGACTTTAAAGCTTTTTGAAATTAACTTGGTTGTCTTTTCATTGCCTTTCTATGTTTGGCTGCTTGTTTGTGTTTGTTTAATTCAATTAGTACTTGACAACAGTATATTATAAACCAGTAGACTTATGAAACGGAAAATATATATATACAATGTATATTCCCACCACCTACCTCTTTTATTTCTCGATCACTTTTTTTTTCTTTGTCTGATTAATACAATAAGTTCTTTTTATGTTTTCCCTTCTTTTTAAACTTTTTGGCTGTAGAATTTGTTTTTGGTATGGATTTATTGTTTGTTTTGTTTGTTATTTGATCTCAAAGATAAAAAGAAAAAGATCATAATATACATATCTATATTATAAATATATACAACATAAGAAAATGATGATGTATCAACAAAGAAAGAATTTGTTTTTTATAAATTTTTTTTGGTTTTTTTTTTGGTTTTTTTGGTTTTTGTTGTTGTTGTTGTTGTTCTCATTGATGATGAAGTTTTGTTATTGATTTTGTTCTAAAAAATAATGGATATAATCTATACATAAACATCTTATTAAAACCTTACTATCTTGTTCATCTGCAACACTATCTTTAAAGAAAAGAGAAAAAACATGGTTAAGTGGGAAAATAAGATGAGAAATGGATGGTGGTTTGATTTTGAATTGATTTGAAGAAACTGTACTTTAGTTATTTTGGTGGTTGCAATGATTGATGAATCAAGAATTCTGCAAAGAAAAAAGGTTTTTTGTAAAATGTTGATTTAAGAATCCAAGTTGAGTTATAAAAATAGGTTTCAAGTCAATAGACTTTAAGTCTTTCAATGCCTATATTACAACAACTTTTTGATTATTGTAAAATAACTGGTTTTTGTTTTACAATCAGAACCTCTTTTGAAGTGCTTCAATTTAAAAATATTGAAAAACTTGTCCAAATTTTTCAAATTTCCATCAAAACTAATCAGACTTGAAATTCCTGGGTGTTTTTTCCTCAACAAGAAGATATAAAAGGGCTTTTAAGTGTAACATGTACAAACCTGAAAAAAAGAAGAAGTCTGAAAACACAATCACAAGAAAGTATAGAAAATGCCTAACCTAGGATTTTGCAGTGTGACCCAGTCCTGCCTGGCTGGGCTCAATCAATATCTTTGGAAGGAGTCAGCACAGAGTAAAAGTAACTCAGGTGTAGCCTGGAAAGGCTCAAAAGCCTTCCAGTGCAAGGAGTTTCAGTCCTATTGTTAGAATACAGCTTTGGGACTGGCCCTGAGGTGTGGGAGTGGTGGAACAAGAAACTTGTGACAAACAGTGAGAGCATAGGAGAGAGATAAAGACAAGAGATGTGGAGCAAATGGGGAATAGTATCACCCAGGAGAGGAGTGGGAGTAGACAAGTAGTGAAGTATATATATATCATATAGACTACATGAGGTACAACTCAAATTCCTACATAGGCCCCAATCCCAATCCAGTCTTGCCATCCATGCTGATCTAGTACAAGCTCTGAGGGTGTCATGTGATCCAATTGAGTGAGGGTTGGTCCAAATTGAGAGGGGCTGGTTGATGGTGCCTGATTGGGGATAGTATAATCCTGGCAGAGGATGAAGTGGCCCACATGGTGATCCCAACACCTGAGATGTCTAGGAATCCTTCCTCAAGCCGGCAATTTCAGGCAGAGTCCAGAGGCTGTTCCTGTGGCTGTCTCAGGTCTTTAAAAACTGAGCACTGCACTTCTTCAGCTATACAAGGAGATATTCCTTGTGTATAACCATATCCATGCACTGATGTATTGGGGTGAAACCAGGAATTCTGTGCCAGGTTCTGTGATATGTGATCCAACTATGGGTGGGTGTATCAGGAGAATCAGAGGTCCTGTGATGAGTCTGATTAAACCAAAACCTGCAGATTCTTTGAATGTCAATCTAGCACATCAGAGTGTGTAGACCAAGTCTGTGGATAGCTTTCACACTGAAATGGAAATCATAGCACAAAGACTGATGTTGCAACAGCTCTAGTGCAGTGATCAAACTGTTTTCAAGATGAACCCCTGCCTTGGTCAAGAGGGAATTCCCAAATTCATATGAATGGATCATGATTGTCAGGCTCAAAGCTAAGGGCCCGTTCGGTTCGGTTGGTCACATATTATGTGACCGACTTTTACACCAAAACTGTTACATACAGTCAGATATTATATGGACCATATTGGACCCATATAGTTGCATTTACATAGCCGTTCGGTACGAATATGTGACGTCGATATGTCATCGCATGTCTTCACATATTCGTCCAAATAGAGATACAGCCTTTGGGCTGTATCTACCCCCTCTATCTCTATCTGCCCCTGCCCCAATCCATCTCCTTCTTCCACCCCTTTCTCCTAATCTCAATACCCGCACACCCCCTTTCCAACGTTTCTTTTTTTCCTCACTGCCTCACTCAGCTATCCACACGATTCTCTTCCTCAGCTAGTACATTAACTCGCTATTGAACCTCACAATTAGTCCTTTATTTAATCAACTTGTTTATTCACTCTCAACTTGCTTTAGTTTCTTATTCGATTAAATCTTTTATTCAAAAACCTTTTTATTGTTCCCAACTCGCTATTAAATCAAACCGGCTATTACCTTATCATTCAATAGAACTCGCTATTAGTTTCTTAGTTGATCAAATCTTTTTATCCAATCAAACTTGTTATTACTTTCTTTCACTCGACTTCTCAATTGGACTCAAAGTCCCCCGGTCGAGGACATCGCAGGTCGATTGCGATGAAACTAGTTGTAGGTGAACGAAGAAGATGAGAATGGTCTTTAATGACTGTTTTGGTTTTTTTATGAAGCTCGTTGTAGGTGAACAAGAGCAATGATGAAGGTCTTTGATGACCATTTTGATTTTTTGGGGGGGAACAGTCGATTAGATTGTATGTTGTTATATGATTACCGAACAGCGATATGATCAACAGAGGTCAACAAACGTCTGTTGACCTCTTTTGGATATCTGTTCGGTAATCTCAATTACCGATCTACCAATATCTCTATCTGCCCCTTCATATAGGGGCAAAACAAAATTTTGTTTTCAGGGCATATAATATGCAAAAACGAACCGAACGGGCCCTAAGTTCTTGACATGTAGGGTATAGTTTTCAGGGATATGAAAAATATCCAAAATTTCATGGAGTGTTCTCTCAAGAGTGAAGAATACCATTGATTGGTGAGAAAATTCTTAAGAAATCTCTCCAATTTATAAGAGCCAAAAGCCTCTATAAGTTGCAAAATCAAAAAAACTGAAATGATAAGTCAACTGTTGATCCAACAGTGACAAGGCCTGCAATTTGTTAACCTTCTCATGTACAGTAAGGTGATTCTGGCTTTCTTCATGTTTTCAAGCTGAACTGGTCCAGTAGTTCTTTGTTGTAGCTCTCTTCTCTGGAGGGATTGATCTCTCTTGATGAATTGAAGTTTTGTTTTGTGTGTTCATATATTATTGAAAGTTGATGCAATGAATTTGAATCATCTCCTTCAACCACTTCTTCAATGAGAGTTTCTGATGGAGTCAACACACAATGCTGAATGCAAATCATATGCAGCACTACCACAATAAAGACATATTTTTACTCTGATTTTCTAAGCCACAAATAACCAAGCACTGTCAAGATTATACATTATCCCCAAGTGGCAATGGTAAAATGATTAACAGTATAGTTTGTCATAAAAGGATATACCACTGACCTGAGCCATAACACCCACACTACATATGTGCAGCAGGCTGAGTAAATAGGTGGCTATAGTGTACATACAAGTTTGCTCACTTGTCTGCTCATCTAAATAAGTAAATCACATGTGATACATCATGTAACTTTTTTCACTTTGACAAAATGGTGCCAAAAATTGATTACATATACTTCAAGCTCCATGGATACTCAGACAATGCTCTTGAAGCCATTTGCCAGTAACAGAAAGGGTGTTATATGAAGTTTAGTTGATGAAATTACATCAAAACTTTGAGACAGTGTACACCCACTTCGGTAACCGTTGTGTGACGTGTGCGACCGACTGCGCACCACCAAAAAGTCGCACTGATTTTCGGTCGCATATGTGACCGAAAAAACCAATTCGGTAAACCAAAATGCGACGGAAGACGCACACGCATCTTTGCACATATGTGCAAAAATCGTGCGCATTCTTGAAAACGACTCAAAGCCGTATATTTTCAAATTAATGCAACTGCAACTTTCCATCGCTCTCTCTTTCAACCCATCACTCTCCCTCTTTTTCTTACTTCACCAAATTTCATCCTTCATTACCACCAAAAAAATCAACTTCTTAATCCCTGAACTCCATTCACTTCAAATAATGGATCCTCTAAACAACCTCGATCTTGACATCACCTTTTCAATCTTGATATGGCCATTATTTTGTCTATCGGAACAATCAATATTCTCATTCAAACTTACCATCAACCTTCTTTTATTGATCCCAAGTTCCTTGTTTTCCTTCAAATCACAAATCATTTCTTTTATCTCAACTCCTCGAGTGGTATCCAATCATTTGAGTGTTGGATTGTATTTGTCTCTGGCTTATTACATATTATCAATCTGATTTGAAATGGTCACTTTTAAAGATGTTTTGTTTCTGATGCAATAGATGATAAATGATACAAAAAAGCTTTAAATCTCCTGGAAAATGAATTAAATTGAAAAATTGCATGAGTCTCTTGGGTTTGAATGATTCAAGTCAAAAAGCAATGATGTTGTGGCGTTGAAGGGCGAGAAATAGGGTGATGTCAAGACCATTCGACTGCTTTGGCCATCATCAAAGTCGATGACCTCGTTTACCAGTCAGTGAAAGGCGTTATCGATCTCAATAATGCTGAATTCTGATCACATATCACGTTGTATCTGTTTACCGAACGTTTCCGAAAAGTGGAGTGTTGTGTGTTTTTATACATACACACACGATGAGAAAATTTCTCACCGTGATGCAAAAGTCGCATTAAATTATTAATGCGACTTTTTTTGCCGAAGTGGGTGGTATGTAATCAATTCTTGGAATGCTTTTGTCAAGCTGAAATAAGTTACACTATGTATTACAGCCGTTTCAAGAAAGGTTGACAACTTTTTTTGGAGAAAGTTGTCTCCGCGGCGGGTAAAACTAGAGACAAAACTTGATTTACAGGTTTATTCTTTTCTGTATTCTTCCAATTAGCAGAGAGAAAAAATCGGGTGAGGGACATAACAGGACAAAACCCGGGTTTTGCACATTGGCGAGATTTTTAGAAAAAAACAATCTTTGTTGAAACAGCTGTACATATAATTCAATGATCCAGATGAGCAGATAAATTAGTGAATCTGTATGTAAACGATAGCCCCTCATTCACTCATTCTGATAAACATATGTAGTGTGTGCTTTATGGCTTGGGTGTGCAGTGATAGATCCTTTTATGAACCACTGAAACACTATACTCTTAATCATTTTCCCATTCCCACTTGGGGAAAATGTATGATGTTTACAGTTAAGTCTATTTAACCAAAGATCAGAAGAGCGATAAAAAGGGATCAGTAAGGTGATCAGCAAGGTGATAAGGAACTCAAGTTGTTTTCAAGGCTCCCCTCTGAAAAGGTTTGAAGAGTATTTCAAAACCCTGACCAAAGAACCCAAGACTGGAGTTGTTAAAGCATTGAACTATACTTTGTGATCATCATATTATGTTTTACATAGGCATCTGCTAACTGTTGGTGCTGAATATCATCATAGAACCACTCCAGCAGTTCTCCATACCACAATTACAAGATCACAAGGAGCTTTTTCATCAAACTGCAAACCCTGCTTCTCCTCTCCTTATCAAGAGGCAAGGTAGATTGATTGTGACATCTTAGGCTGACATGCTGACACACATTGTGAATTACTCATAGAATCACAGTATATGTTCAATGTTTCAATGAACTTGCTCTACTTTGAATGCAACACATGATGATATGCTACTTGTTGATAAGATGATTTGCTAGTCTGTTGGGATGCTGGTGTTGGTTATGTTACAAGAGACCCTTAGGGTTAGGGGCCAGAGATGAATGATACCCAAAGGGAGCAAAAGCAGGGAGAGTAAAAAGGATAAACTATCCTTTGCTGGTATGAAAATACAATTGAGAAACATATGAGTGAACATAACATAGCCAGGGTATCTTGGCATCTTTATGAAAATGCTGAGTTGTCTGGGTGGAATTCTCCAGGCACCTGGCTCTCAAAAGATTAAGTATGTCCTTGTTTCACCGTGTCTTGGATCAGGCAATTACATAAATCTCAAAGGTTTATCCTCACACCAGAAGAATATTGGGAGCCCTTGACATATCCCAGATGTGGTTTTACATGGGTCCCCAACTAGGACACCACCACATCCACCAAAGGATACAGTCAAGATATTCAACCCTTTGGCCATCCAGCTGGCACCATGAGCTAGGATACATCCTAGCCAAATGTCCCAATGTGGTATAGCCCTGATATTCTTATGTTCAAAGATTACTGAGTTGAAGAATAAGACACTAAATCATTTAACACAGGCTGCTACATACCTGCCACTGGTCTGATCATACACATTGACTTTTCAAGACAAGATGATGAAGAGTGGTTGAGAGGAGTTTGGGTCATATTAAGCTACTCATTCTCATTCTGTCCATCCAGTTCTCTCTTTGAGATTGGAGATGAGACACCTCATATTGAGCTCGGAAAGAAAGTTTTCCTCACTAAGGGGAAAGGTTGTATAAAGCAGCCTTCACATCTGAGAGGTAAATGTTGAGAAATTGTCCAAAGACAACAACCCCCGGGCCCTACAATTAGCATTACATAATGTAGGGTATGTGGATATATGAACAGGCTTTTCTTTTTGCCAAGAATTCATTTTCAAAATTCAAAGCAAAGATATCGATGTATATCCATGGGCTTGGTGAATGAAATCGGTAGCAGGTTCTTTTTCCATCAGATTGCATAATTATTTGGCTCATCATGAGATGATCTTGAAGGCAAAAGCAAGGAAAGATTGTACGGAATCTAAAGATTTGATTGCAAACTTGAGTAAGATGATGATTGAGGATTGAGACAGAAACATTCTTTCACGCCGAGTCATCATCCTTTGCCCGATTCCTACGAGGATGAGGAATGATAGATGAATTGAGTTATATTTTGAGATAAGGTGATTCTCGATTTGTAAGCAAGCACACCTTGATTTTTTTTACATGGTCATTCACAATCCTTGTGTGGTGGTGATTTAATTTGGTACGTAAATGGTGATAGGACGTGAGAAGAATGAATAGAAAAGTTGAGATTCACTTGAAGAGTACATAGTGGTAAAACGCCATCCGAAAGATGTAGTTCAAGTTGAAATTCAAGTGAAAATTCAGCCCGATAAGCCATCCTCCAACAAGTTGAACGTTTTAAATAAGTAAACCAACTTCAGGGTTTTTGGTAAAAGACTCAAGAACAAATTAAAAAACACCAAAATAGTACAACATAATTAAAATTTTAATCTTGAGTTGAGTTGAAGTTGAGTTGAGTTAAGTTGAGTTGAGCGATAGAAAATTAATTCAAAAATAAAATCAAATCAAATCAAATCAAATTGAAATCGAATCAAAACCAACCATCCACTCTTTGTTGTAAAACTTGATTTTGAATTTCCATCGATCTAAAACTTGAAATTGTTGGTGTTGGTTTTGTTCTTAGCTGAAGAAGATCTCCAATCTGACTCACTCAACTTTCTGTCTTTGGTTCTTTGGTTCTTTCTTTCTTTCCTTTCTTTCTATATACGACTTTCAATCTTACAGCATCGAAATTGGACTCAAAAGTGATATTAAAGACCAATCGGACATCAAACTTAAATTTGAACTTAAATTTAATCCAAGTTGGAAGAAAAAAAAAAAGTCAGCCATCAATCCGATCAAAACAGACCAAAAGACTCAGTCTAAATTACTAAATTATCATTTCTCTCCATCCATCTACTCCAACTTCTTCTTCTTCTTTTATCACTTTGACTTTTAATCCAACTGATGAATCCATCACTTCCTTAAACATCACACCTTAAACTTAATCAACCAGTTTCTTTTTCTTTCATATTGATTTCAAAGAAACTTTCAATCAAATCACTTCAAGAAATCAAATTCAATCAATTCAAGACTTTAGCGAGTTTTAATCGATTGACTCTAACCAAACCCAATCCATCAATCAATCCATCAATCAAACAGTCAGTCAATCAAATCACCCACACACAAACACAGAATCAAGACAGACTAAGTCTTATTTACTTTTAAGATTAACACTCAAAGATGCAATCTATCAAATGTGTGGTTGTAGGTGATGGTGCGGTCGGAAAGGTAAGGAAGAATCTTTAACTTAAGTTTTTAGAATCAGAATAGTAGTAGAAATCTACTCTACTACTACTATCAATCTCAAATTCAAATCTAACTAACTAACTCACTTTTCGGTTCGATTTGAATTTCAATTTAGACTTGTTTACTTATCTCTTATACTACCGTCAGTCTTTCTCTCTCTCTTTACCTTCTCATCGCTTGGAATCTCTTGGTCTCAATCTCTTTTCTCTTTACCATATCAAATCAATCTTCTTTACCATCAGAATGCTTTCCCGGGTGAATACATCCCTACTGTCTTTGATAACTACTCTGCAAATGTCATGGTCGATGGTAAACCGATCAACTTAGGTTTATGGGATACCGCTGGTCAGGAGGTTGGTTTCGTTTTCCATTGATCTTGATCTTTCATTGGTCTACTTCATCTCAACTAACTCACTTCTCTTACTCTTTCCTTATCTCTTCTCATCTAGGATTACGATCGTCTTCGACCTCTTTCTTATCCACAAACCGATGTCTTTTTGATCTGTTTCAGTTTGACTAGTCCACCTTCATTTGAGAACGTTCGAACCAAAGTCAGTCATATACCTCTTTTCTATATTTCTGTATTACAAATTGCTGATCTCTTCTGACCCCGGATTTCAGTGGTATCCCGAGATTTGTCATCACGCGCCCAATATCCCTTTGATCTTGGTTGGAACTAAATTGGATCTAAGGGAAGATCCACAAACGATTGAGAAATTGAGAGAACGTAGAATGGCTCCAATCTCGTATCAGCAAGCTGCTGCTATGGCTCGTGACATCGCTGCTGTTCGGTAAGCCATTCTTTGGATACTTTTGTGCATTATTGATTCACGATTGCTCATCGAAAGACCTGTTTCTTACTTTGGATTGGGGTTTTGATTAGTTACCTCGAATGTTCTGCTCTAACGCAAAAGGGGTTGAAAAACGTATTTGATGAAGCTATCAGAGCTGTCTTGGCTCCTGCCACACGTGAGAAGACAACAAAGAAACAATCCAAGGGTTGTACAATTTGTTGAAAGAGATTGATAATCACGAATTCACGACTTAAGACCATCACTTTGTTTCTTTCTTTTTTTTCACTCATCAAAGAATTAAAAACTGTTGTGGTTTTCCTCTTCACCATTTTTTTTTATTTCATCTTTTTTTTTTGCTTGATCTCTCATCTATCTTCAACATCAACTCATGTTCTTTTCCCATTTTTTTTTGACGATAGCTCTGTCTCTTTTTTTCCAATCTATCTCGCTCTTACTACATCATCTCTAACGACTTTATTTTTTTTATGATGACTTTTTTGAAATTCTATTTTTTCTCCCATTTTCTAACATGTGTTTTTTTGTGCGTGTCTGTGTTTTTTTTGTCCTTACGCTTGTGTGTGTATGTGATGAGAGAGTGTGCAAACCTTTTTTTTTTGGCTTTTAAAAAAAATCATAATACAATAAAAAAAATCAATCACATTTTCTACATTCACCTGTTCTTCTTTTTTTTACTGTTTCTTCTTCTTTCTCCTCAATAAATAATAATAATTGATGCAAAAAAATATAAACCTTTACAGAAAAAAAAATCATCTACTTTTTTTTTCAACATTTTTTTCCCTTTATCAGTTTTTTTTGGGTATTTTTCTTCTGTGATTAAAAGTTCTTTGATGAAATTACCACAAGGAAAGAGAAATGGGGAATGAGAAGGTTTGGAAGAGACAATTGGTATTTTGTTTCTTGACAAGGTCTTCATGGGTTTTCTTTCATGAATCATTACTCACTTGAAAGAAAACAAATTGGATTCAAATCTGTGTTGATCAAATGATTAGTGGTTTTGAAACCTTATTGTATTGAAGAATGATTTACTTGATTGAGATGGTTGTATTTATTTGTAATGATATGTAGTAATTACCATTGAATGATTTTAAACCAAGAAAAGTTGTGTTTGAATTAGGGTGTTCAAACCTGTGCAAGATCAATGAGCAAGATCTGTGCAAGTTTTTTTTTGCACTAATTTTGCACATTAATTTCTTTGACAACCCAAGTTATTGTGTTCCAAACCGTGTAAAAACCGTGTGAGACCAACTTGCAAGTTTTGAGGTTTGGTTTGAACACCATAAATAGATGAAAATTACTTGAGATAAAGGAAAGATTGATTTGAATGTACAGTCCCCTCCAAGTGATTTACGTAATCATTGGACATCATAATCAGGTTCTAATCAGTTATTGATCACAATAGCTCCAGTTGAGTTTCTTCCTAAAACTTTCTCTGACTCTTGTTCTCCACCAATCTCTCTCAAAGCCAATTTGACCCCCACTGCCAGTCAGCAGTTGGTGCTCCAGCCAGCATTCACACAAAACCAGTACCTTGTAAGTTGTAACAATACCAGTCTCAATGTCAGAATGTTTTGTTGACTTCTTCAATTGACTACCAATCAAAATTGATTGGCTTGTTTCTTATTCTTCTCCTACCACACAAGGTTTTCATACAATGAGAAATGAATCAGAAAAAATTGACCTCATAACAGTTCATCATCATCACCATCATCACAAATTGAACTGGAAGTCCAGCTAACAGATCTCAATCTCAGTTGATTTAATCATTTCTTGAACCTGATTTCTTTCAACTTCTTTTGACCTTTGAATGAGTATCAAGATCCTTTTAGGGTTGCATGATCTTGAAACCATTGATTCCATCCAACCAAATCCACTCATCTCACACTCCAGACTGTCACAATGTCAAAATCAAAGATTTCTCTTGGCTTTTTCCAAATCAAAATCGATTCATCAAGTTTGCTTGCTAACCAGGAATATCATTGCATTACAAGATAACTGCTATCACCTCAGAAACAAATTCACAATTCAACCATCAATTCTTTCAAGCCTGTATTGTGATGGCTAGACCAGTTGTTAAAGCTAAGTCAGCCTTTTGTCTCAGTTTCCGGTTCAACACTTGTCAATCACAGATATACATTGCTTCCAAATTCTTGACTCCTCACAAAACCCTTACTTACTAGTCTAGTCAGTTTATTTCAGTTTCTCCCCTTTCTACCAATCTAAGTCCAAGTCTCACAGCTGATTTCTCCTAATATTTTTTTTGCTTGTATGATTCTAAAACATGATTCTAGGATGGCACTGGACCAGAAAAACCAGGTAACTCTTGTGGTGGTGTTCAAACTTCATGCTGACAATGCAATGGTATTTGTGGACACAATTCCACCCAAGGCTTAGGTGCCTCTTGTTGACTCCAAGACCTTCAACAATGATGAAGCAATTGATTTCAGGACTTTCCCTTTTGGTAAGTCTTTGTACAACTTGAAGATGCTCTGTGCCAAGCTGTGTGATGTGCATGCCCCCCTCATGGAGCAGCAGCTCTTAACTAGTGAGCTTTCTCTATCTTTCATTTGGAAAGGTGTAGTTGGTTGCACCAAGGTGGTTTTTGATGGCCACAGAAACTAGTATGATTTTGTTGACTTCCTTTGAAAGTCCAAAAAAGGAGGATCAACCTTCACAAGTACAAGACTTTGAAGACTCAAAAGGCAGCTCAAGCAAGTCTTTTTTTCATCTTCATACAATTTCAATCTTTATTCCAATCTGTATTTCCATCTTATTGACTGATTGATATCTATTTAGATGTCTAACAGGTGATTGCAGCCAAGAATATGATTGCTACAGCTTCTGGTTCTGCACCTGAAAGTTAAGATGTCCAGATTGGAACTGGCCAATTAGAAGTGAGTTTATATTGTATCTGATTATTTCTCATGGGAGCCAGGCCTCCAAAATCTTGGTCAAATTGCACAAATCCACTGCTGCACTTCACCATCAGCACACTGAGAAGCTCAACAGAGGCAATGGGGTATTCCTTCTAGCACCCTGAGACCTCAATTTTCAATACTGTTTCACAATCTGATGTGCCTTTGATTGGGACAAAGACATCATAAGTATACTAACACTCTCTTTCTCATTTCAACTTTCACAATGACCAATACTGATACTGAGAATGTTTATGGCATGTGGTACTTTTTAGGAGGCAAAAATGGCCACAACACATGTGGCGCCAGACACCCAGAGAATTATTGTGCTGAGATGACAAAATCTTGTGTTTTTCATTGGTTGATGTGTGTTCAAGATGGCATGCAACAGTGTCTAGCTGCTTGTAGGGTTGCCAGATTGAGTTGTTCTTTATTTAGAAAGGATCACAAGGCTCCAGCCAACATTATTCAACTTCCCCAAGAGTATAATTTATCATAAAGAGAGCTATTACTCCACACTTGAGCCATAACACCCACACTACATATGTGCAGAAGGCTAATTAAAAAGGTGGCTATCATGTACATACAGGTCTGCTCAGTTATCTGCTCATCTGGATAAATGAATGATATGTAATACATGATGTAACTTTTTTTAGCTTGACAAATGTATTCCAGATATAGACTACATACATCAACTCAAACTTTGGGTGTAATCTCATCAACTCAGCTCAATGTAACACCCTTTATGTTACTGAAAAATGGTTTCATGAACATTTCCTGAGCAGCTACCACTGTAAACATTGAACAACTTCCCTTCAATTGAGCGGGGGAAATTTTATCAGAGGTATAATTGGTCATGATGTATTGATCACTGCACACCTGAGCCATAAAACCCACATTACATATGAGCAACAAGCTGAGTAAGTTGTTACCTATCATGTACATATAGGTCTGCTCAGTTCCCTGCTCATCTGAATAAATAAATCACATGTAAGACATCATGTAACTTTTTTCCAGTGTGACAAAATCCTTGCAAAAATTGACTACATATACCTCCATAGCTACTCAGGCAATACTCTGGACACCATTCAATAGTAACAGAAAGGGTGTTACATGTGGTTTACTTGATGAAATCACACAAAAGCTATGAGTCAGTGTATGTAGTCAATTATTGAAATGCTTTTGTCAAACTGAAAAAAATTACAGAAAGTATTACATATGATTTACTCATTCAGACAAGCCAATAGCGGAGCAGCTCTGTATGTACATGCTAGCTCCCAATTTACCCATCCTGCTGCACATATGTAGTGTGGGTACAGTAGATTTCATAAAGGTTGAAATCGACTGATTTTCAAAATCAATAGATGGTCCGTGCGCCCCGCAGCTAAGTTCTGACAGATGTCAAACTTACCTGCCTAAATCGAACAAAATACACATGATAAGATTAAAAACTTGCAATCATATACTTCAAACTCCTTTACTTTCTCATTCATCGGTGGCCTAGCGGTAGCAGGTGCGGTCCTGCTGAACAGCTGAGCTCTGCGGCTGAGCTGCGTGTTCGACTTGCTGTGTTACCTTTTGATGAATCTTTTTTGTCATGATGACTAACAACTTAATGGAAACAAAAAAAAGATGCATCAGCGAGAGTTCTATTTTCATTGTTTTGTTTCATCATGACAACAGGCAAGGAAAAACAACAAACAATTGCAAAAATGATTTCTGGCAATAGCAAAAGGGGGAGTTGAACTACGCACAGCCACGTTTTGAAACACAAGCACCAGAGCATAGTAATCACTCGCCTAACCCACCCAGCCAGATCAGCTTTCGACTTGGTACCCTTTTTGCTTAAAGGAGGGCATTTTTTTGTACGCATTTGTTGCGATCAGGCAGGTAAGTTTGACATCTGTCAGAACTCGACTGCGGGGCGCACGGACCATCTATCGATTTTGAAAATCAGTCGATTTCAACCTTTATGAAATCTACTGTACTATGACTTGAGAAATGAGTCATATGAAAAATGTGCCTGAATTTCATGTATTTCTCCATAGTGAAAAATGATTGAAACAAGGAAACAAAATGAGATGCTTGACATTGGTCCAAAAAATCTGACAAAATCAAGCTAGTCAAAGTGTGCTACTTTCTTCCTGTTGGAAGATTTTGACAGATGTCAAAAAATCCAAGCACTCAACTTCTTAAGTTACATTTTTTCCCAGAATGTTTGCATACAAATGTAGGACTTGTTAATTGCTCAATCTAGCCCTTCAAAATTGACAAGAAAAACCTGGAAAACAAAAGTAACAAGTCAAGGACATTTTCCCATTGAACATTTATTTTTGAGGGATTTTTGACTGGCCTGGCTCAGTGTTTCATTGTCTTTAAGTGCTGTATGTAAGTCATCACATGTGAGTTTTTACAACCATACACAAGCTTCTGACATATGTACAAAGCTCCAATACCACCCAAAAAACATTTTGCAGCACAACAAAGGATGTAAGATTATCTTGACATGTTTTAAAGAATGAAAATTTGATAAATTTTGCAATTGATGGAACTAATAGGGAACAACTTTTGATGTTATACTTTGCATCTATCAAACACAAAGGCACCAGAAAAATGAAAAAATCACCACATATCACCAAAGGGTATTCCTGATCTGTCATCTTGTGGATCTTCCTATGAGCTTTCCAAAACCAGAAAAAGCATTCAGAAATTACTTGTTGAGTTGATACTGACTAAAACACTTCAAGTAAATCCCAAAAATCATTCCATCACAAAAAGTATTATATTTCTCCCCAGATTTTTTTTTCAAGAATTTTAGGGCCAAAACTGAGCCCCTCAATTTCAGAAGGAATTTTTTGTTGATCATTTTTCACACGTGGAGGGATACATCATCCTGGCAGTTTTAGCACATACCACTATGAACATCATTCAACTTCCCCACATTGGAAGAGGAAAATGATTAATAGTACAGTTTGTCATAAAAAGATTCAATACCGCTCACCTGAGCCTCAACACCCACACTACATATGTGCAGTACACTAAGTAAATAGTTTTCTATCATGTACATACAGGTCTGCTCAGTTTTTTGCCCATCAGAATATATAAATCACATGTTATACCACATGTAAATTTTTTGACTTGGAAAAAATTGTCCCAAGAATTCACTACATATAATTCTGTAGCTGCTCAGGCAATAATTTTGAAGCTATTTCTTAGTAACAGAAAGGGTATCACATGCAGTTGAGTTGATGAGATTACACCAAAATGTTGAGTAAGTGTATGTAGTCTATCTTTTGAATGCTTTTGTCAATCTGAAAAAAGTTACAGCATGTATTACATATGAATAACTCATCCTGCTGAGCAGATAACTGAGCAGAACTGTATGTACATGATAACCACCAATTCACTGAGCCTGCTACACATATGTAGTGTGGGTGATATGGATCAGGTGTGGAGTGATAGATCATTTCGTGACAAATGATACTCCCAATCATTTCTTCCTGCCCACTTGGGGAAGTTGATTAATGTTTGCAGTGTACCTGTTCCTGTGGTTATTTATGTAGATCAGGAGAACAATGAAGCTTAACCAAAGACTTCAACTCAATTGAAGGGAGTACACCCCAAATATCAGGAGGACACTGACAGTGTTGCCAAGTACTTGATCAAGGAACCAGAGTTCACCAGAGGCAAGGCAAGTAAACTCCCAACCTTACAAACCCTTTTCTTGATTTGAATTAATAATTATGCATTTACTCTCTGTCTCACCAAGAAATGATGGGGATCAAGAGGAGTTGGTTATCCATATGGTGTCCTGGAGTCTGCACAAAGGACCTGCTGGATGGTCTAATCTCAAAGGTCATAGGGACAAGACCAAATCAAGTCCAGTTGGTCCGGGTCATCAACTAGCTTCAATGACCATACTTGATCTACCACAGAAGTTGAACACATGGCTGCTGCTGCTGCTGCTAAAGGTGTAAAGCAGAATGCAATACTTGACACCTTTGTTTTGAAAAAGAAATTACAACTTTAATTTTTTTGGGGGTGCTCATAATTTTTTTTTGGTCTTAGAGCATCCACAACGGTCCACCTACTTTGCGAGCCCTGGAACAGACCCCCGATCCTGATTTTGTGGATGTAGGGGGTCAAAAAAACAGGTGTCCACAGCGGTGCACTTGAAGTCAGGGGCCAGAACTCGATTGAGTGATATGGTATGCTTGTACCATATCATCTTGTTTCGAGTGCGGTTTGAGACGTGACTATATCGGTCACGTGGAAGCAGTGGCACGTGATATTGGGAGCCCCTATAGACCTCGCAGATGTGGGGGGTCCGGATGGAAATCTGGAGGCCCCCGACGTCTCACCTCCGATTGTGCGAGCTCCGTTGGAGCGTTTTTTTGCGTTTTGACCCCCTACATCGCTGGGGGCCCGCAAAGTAGGTGGACCGTTGTGGATGCTCTTATCTCATACATGATCAAATTCTTCAAAAAAATCATCTAATTTATATAAAACCTAAATCAATAAATAACTTTTTCAATTCGAAGCCAAACCCACCAAAAAATCCCAAGAAGGTTTTTCTAACACCAAGAATCCAATTTATCTATATCTACAAATTACATCATTCAACTACAATCCTCTCATTTCTCTCTCTCTTATCATACTACTTCATCATCATGAATTCTTATGGAAGATTTTCATTTAATAATTTATTTAAACAGTTTACCCATACTAACTTTAGCAAGACTTGAAACCAAACCACCACCAAAGTTATTTAAAAGATTACTAGCACTCGAACCTAATTTCCTTTTCGAATCTCGATCCTAAAAATTCAAAAACCCCAAACCCAAAACCCATCAGTTTAAAACTTCCAAAATAAAAAAAACGAAACAGTAAAAGAGGGAAATTGAGAGAGAGAGAAAACTAAACTGCATAAGTAAATCCAATGGTATTAGTAAAATTAAATACTAATGCCAATAAAACGATCGGTAAGAAAGATAAATTAAATTTCAATAAACCAATAAAAAACAAAACCACCCAAGCCGTTGGAAAAGCATAAAGTGCTGTCCAAAACATCCTATAAAACATCAAAGACCCCCCGAGAAACCATCAGTTCAGAAGGTGAGAATTCTTAACGTGATTTGGGGGTTTTTGAAAAAGATGGTCATTGAATTACTTTAAGTCTACTGCATTAGAAGGTTGTGAAGGCTAAACAAACCCGCAAAAAAACCCCTTCAACTTGTGTCTTTTCATTCAAGGTGTTTAAAAAAGTCGAGAAAACTTACATCACGACTTTCAAAGACCCAATAACTACTACCATCCTCATCTACCTGATTCCAAAACCTCAATCCAACCAAAACCCTACCTGAAACATTCCTAACCGTCCAGAAATCTGCTGATAAGAGAATCACTACAATTACTGTTGAAAATACATATGAATCTGAAAAGAATCCACATAAAACCTTCAGAACACCAAAACACCAAACCCCCAAAAAAAAACAGATTAGATTCTAAAATTTGATTTGGTGTTTTTTGGATTGACTTACGTATGTAGTAATAGCTAAAGATCTAAAAAAGTAAAGAAAGAATAAAGCAACAGGATGAGAAGATTGTTTCCAAATAGAAGTTTCTGTATGATTTTGAATTGGTTGATTATTTTGAATTGAATTGTTTTGAGGAGGTATAGATGGATTGATTGGAACAGATTGGTAAGTGGGTGGATCGTTGGTGTCTGATGAAATTGTTCCTGTGCCATTGGTTTCGATCGTGTTGAGTAAGTTTAGGGATGATGGAGATGATCCTAGTCCTGGGTGAGTGGTCATTTTGTGTGTCTTTGGGATGTCTTTCTATGTTTGTTTGTTGTTTGATGGTTTGTGAATGTGAAGTGCTTTGGATTGAATGATCGATGAGAATGAAGAATGAGTTTCGAGAAGACAATGAGATGATACCACTCTTTCATCTATTAGCATATCCTGTAGCTATCACGTGCTCGATAGCCTTTTATCCAAATCATGACCTTTCCAACAAAATCTCAAATCCAACTCGACAAATTACCGAATTCTCAACTTCAAACTCAACCCAATCCAACCACTTAAAGTCATCATGGTAATCACTTTTTCATCCATCTTCAAACCCTCGCAGACCCAACTCACTAACATACTCATACCAATCCGAAACCCTCACTCATCTAGGCCCAATCATCACTTTTATTCGATGACTTATTCACCCTAACAGATCTCGACAAAGAAGGCAAAAAATTCGATCGAGTCTCTCGACTAAAAGCCATCTCATCAAATCATTCCATGAACCTAACCTTAGATTTCAATATAGAATTATATCCTTTAAAGATTGGTGATTGCTTTGCACTTGCTTTATCTTCTTCTTTAACACCTGAAGGTGAGAAAGATGGTGGAGCTGAAATCCAGTCTTGGAGATTGGAAGAAGGGAAAGGTGGATTGGCTGATGAGTATGATTATGTTATGTATGGTAAAGTTGGTGGTTTTTCCTTTCTTTCTCTCTTTGTGTTTTTTGTTCGGGTGTTGACTGTGTTTTTTTTCGATGGGATTTCATCTTGGTTTGGTTTTGGGTTTAGCTTTATAAATTCGATACTGGTGCATCTGATACGGTGACGTGTTATATTTCTTTTGGTGGTTTACTAATGGCTCTAAGTGGTGATTATCGGTATGTTTTGACAATCTCTTCTAGACTGTTGTGATATTCGAAAATGAAAGCGTGTTTGATGAGTTTTTAATGAAATCCTTTGAATATTTTTTTGGGATATATGATTTTAAAGACATCTTGATCAACTTACAGTCGGTCAAATGGTTTTTCTATTAATGAGAAGATAGGGTTCTGATCTATCATGGGGAAATTCTATTAAATGTTACATTTGTATTTGTTTTTAAAATAAAAGGAGCAGGACGAAGTGGTTTGATATGAATCGATTCATTAATGAAATTAAATGTATAGCCTGTTTTTCTATACTTTGGAATTGAATATATTATGAAAGACCAGAAAGCTAAGAGAAAGCCAGGTTTTCCTTTGTTTAAGAAATCACTGTGATTGGGTATCATAGATTGTCTATTCACAATAGCTTGAGAATTGATTGATTGAGATTGAGTGAGTGAGTGTATTTGATCAGGTGACCGGGTCATGAAGAGTCGGGACCGTGAAGATGACTCGGGGTGTGGTTAAAGGGATTGAGGGTTGAGAGTATTGAGTGGGTTGAGAGTGAACTGGAAAGATGAATGAACCAATGATCAGTAGAACTACAAGACAATCAACTATCATCAACAACAACAACAACAACACTCCAAGAAGGTCAACTGCAAGACCACCTCCAACTCTACTTCCTACCATACCAAGACCAAAATCATCAACTCCAACACCCAATCCATTCAATCAACAACAACAACAACAACAACACTTTTATCATCATCAATCTAATCAAATCAAATCAAATCAAATCCATCAATCAAACAACACTTTACCATTTCAAAAACTCAATGCTGCACTCAATGGAACACGTTAGTCACTTTTACTTTTTCTAATCATCAATCCAATAAGAAATCTTTAAAGCTGATTATCTATTATTGGATCATTAGCACATTATCTTGATCAACCAGGTCCACAAAACCGGATTCTACTTTCAATCAAATCAGGTATTCCAGAAGAGATCGATTATGGATTAGAAATCTTATTAGCTGGATCATTTTATGAACCTGAATGTATTCAATTATCAAGATTTCCAGGTTTGATCGAAAGTCTTTTATCATTAATCGATCAATATCCTTCTACATTCGATGGTTCATTTCATCATCAAGAAAAACAAGAACTTTGTCGTAGATCAATCGAAGCTAGTTTGATTTTAAGAAATTTGATTTTAATCGAACCTTTTCTTAGATTGATTTCATCTAATCCTAAATTACCTTTAGTCTTATTAAACGGATTAGAAAAATCTCATGTAGAAGTAGATCAAGAGTTTTTAAGTTTATTACTTGAGATCTTAGAAAGTGCTGCTACTCATGGGATCTCACTTGATCAACCTTTGAAAGGTTCTTCTAACACTTCAACCATTCGATTCCCACGTTCATCTTTACCTGTACGACTCTCATCATCGATTCATGAAAGTGATCCTTCAAGTTCGAATCCGACGATCAATCGACCACCTCAATGGGCTCAAGATTTGTTTGCAAGATTAGATACCCTTACGGGATGTGATGATCGGAATCTAATCTTAGGAGCCTATAGATGTTTAGCAGCTTTTGGAAGATTAGCACATAACCAAGCAACCTTGGGAATCTTAACATTAGATTATTTGTATCCAAGTCCTTGTTTGAAACCGAATTGGCCTACATCGATTTCCAAAGGGTTTCAATTCTTAGCTTTACCTGATTACGAAATTCTGATCAGTTTATTAGATTATCTTTATTCGATCACTTCTAATTCTACGATCAGTTTGACGATTTGTTCGGATTTTCATTCGATCGAATCCATCACTAAATTATTGATTTCTCACATTCAACATCAATGTAAATTCGAATTAGGTCCTACTCAATCTTTACCAATCCCTTCATCTCAATGGTATTATGAAAGACCTAAAGCTAGCATACCTAATCAATCTATCAAATCAAATCCTCAGAATCCTAATCAACTTCATGATCCTAATCAGAGAGGTCCACCACAAACTCCAACGATGACAGAAGTACACAAGATCTTATTAGAAGATTCTGAAATCGGGAACTTAGCCTTCACACCTGAACCTAAACGAGCCAGAGATTGGATGTTAAGAGTATTCGAATCCGATCCGAATGGAGAAGTTCAACAAGTCACACTTTGGTTAGCATACAAAACTCAATTTGAAGCTTATCTCAACAAACCAGCACCCAATCTAGATCCTTCAACTCAATCAAATCTTCTCAATCATCCTCCTCATTCCATGATCGCTCCGGCCGAAGCTATTAAATTGACTTCTGAAGTCTTTCGTACGGCTTGTCCTAGTGTACAAGAAGTGCCCAATGGAGAGAAACGGTTTATTATCAAAGGCATCAAAGCACGTGAACGAATTCGTAAGTGTATGTATATATTTCATCATAAGAAGAAAAACTTTCATTGAGCTTCAAAAAACTGATTGGGTTTGGTTGTTTTTTGCTTGCTTGCGCGGGAATTAGCTCCGAGTGATTTGTTGGGTTGTAAGTGGGATGGATGTAAGGAATCATCGATTTCAGGAGGACCTATAGAAGTATACAAACATGTGATTTTGACCCATTTATCAGCCCAACCTGAAGAACCAGCGCCTCAACCAGAATCAGAACCAGTGCCTCCACCCGAACCCGAACCAGCAACTAATCCATTCCAATGTAAATGGCATACATGTCAAACTCCCAAACCGAATCTAAACGAATTAAAATCCCATCTGTCAACCCATTTAATTTCGATTTCTAAACCGATGTTAGGAATCGACCCACAAATCAATCGAAATGAAAAAGTCAAATTTGAAAGTTTTCAAACTTTTAATCGATCTACTCCACATGGAGATCCAGAAGAACATGGAGCGATTGGGATTGGATATCTTTCTATTTTGGTACTGAGGAATTTAATTAAATCGGTTTCTGAACAAACTGTTTTGAAAAACCCAGAAGCAGAAGAAGTAGTAGGGAATGGGGAGGGGGAGGAAGAAGAGTTGTTGGGATTAAACGTTTTGAATGGTGGGTATGGAAAACTTGAGAATGAGATTCTGGTTTGGGCTTTAGAGGATCGATGGGTTTCGGGAGTGGCTTGTGAGGTTTTGGGTTGGTTGGATTTGGTTTATAAACGAATGGAGGTGAAACCTATTGGATTAGAACCATAGATTTATAGGTTTATTGTGCGTAGTTTATAGATTTATAGATTTTTTTTGTTTGAAAAACCAAAAGGATGAGGGGTTTTTAGATATGTAAGATGGATTGAACTTTTATGGGTTTCTGGTTTTTTGTTTTGTTTTTTTGAGGGGTATGGGTTTGGGGTTTTTAGGTATTGGATTTGTTTGATGACTTGGTTTTTGGGACTTTTTCATTTTGAATTAAAAGTTTATTGGATACATAGGAAAGTGAGTGAGTGAGTGTGAGTGAGTGTGATGATGATTTGATGGGGTTACACGGTTTATGTGGGTTGTGAGTAGGGTTTGGGTTAAAAGAAAGAAGTTTTGAAGGTACATATTCCAAAAAAAAGGAAGAAAGATTTAGAAATTGTAAAAAGATAAATGATGAGGTTTTTTAGATTGGTTTTTAGATTAGATTGGTTTCTTCACCTTTCTTACATATATATTCCAAGATCTTTCTTCTATATAGTGAGAATTCATCTTATCATCCAATCAAATCATGAGTTTTAGATTTCATGTTTTACAATTCTATACTTGATTATGAAACTTGATGGTATATCTCCTACGTTTTTGATTGCTTGAGGTGATGATCATGTCTCTTGAGTTGGATGTAGTATACAAGTCATTCAAACTTGTTGTTAAATGGTTTAGAGACATTCAAGTCATGAACATGCAGTTTATGTAAAACATCTTCTGACCTCATGATGTGGTTGGATTTGGTAATCTCTTCAGACCTTTTCTTGAGACTCGCATACTTGAGGTGTTTATCAAGAGGGCTCTGAGTCTCAAGGCAGGAGGGTTAAAGCTTGATGTCTCATCAGAAAACAATTCGTCTACTCACACTTACACGCTGGCACAACGTTCGTAGTTGATGTCTTGGATGACGTTGAGTAGTTGTACATAGGTGCTGGTTATCTGGTATTTTATTTTATATATTTAAAAGGTCAAATGTTGGTGTAGAATTCCTTCTCATCTTTTTATGATGGTTGCTTCTGACTTCATGCAGGTTTGAAGAATGCCGAATGATGTGATATGTTGTACAGACGCGTCGTGTGTAGAACATTACCCAGTGTGTGTGTGTGAGAGCGTGCGAGACGCGGCGTGGGACTTGGTTGAGTCTTAGTGTGGTTGTTTACTGGTGAGTTAAAATTATCCAAGCTGAGATGAAACCACGATGAAACAAATTGATCTGCTTTGTCTATGAAAACAACCCAAAGTACACATTAGACTCTATCCAAACCGATTCTCATCATCGACCGTAACCGTTAAAAAGAAGAAAGAAGAAAGAATCAGAGATGGACGGATTACAATTTTGAATGAAAGGATTTTCGATCCGAGTGGAATTCTTGATTATTATTTTTTGGTGGTCTTTGGTATCTTCATCTTCATTTATTTTCATCATCGACACATTCAAAATAACTTGAATATCTAAATCCTAAGAAACAACTTCAGCTACGATCAACCTTTTAGAATTTATCAAGATGGCTTCGAGGCATGCCGATCGATCGATTGATGGATTTAGTATCTTTGGCTTGATCGTGGTGCTGTTAGTTAGTAGGTCATTTTTTAACTTTCATATAGAACAAACCTCTGATGTACTTATTGATGATGTTTGATTGATGGTTATCAGTGATCCCGGTTTTAAAACCGATGAGAATCCCATTAGGACAAACCCTTACCCGGATCTTACGTCGAACGGCAATCAAATTGCGTCTGATAGACATTCCAACGCCTCATGAACCAGATCCACCAATCTCGGATTTATCAACTCAAGCTTCTGATTCATGGTCTCTTCCATTGAATTTGACTACATCACCAGCTCTTGGAGTCCTCATCTTACTGATCACTACTACTATAGATGGTAGTGTGATTAGGACTGGAATAGTTGGAGAGGGGGATAGCAAACCTTATGATGTATTGGTCCTCTTTATCAGTCTTGTCAGTCTTCAATTTTTTTAAATCCCTCTCATCAATATAGGATATCCAGAAAGCTTTGGATGATCTCAATAGACTTTAGATCACTAAAATGATGTATATAAACGATTTTTTGATAGGCTTATATTGCTACAGCTCTCGATTCGACTGGGGTCTTACGTAGTTTAGCATTTTATGTATCAAATCAATCAAATGGTTCAGGACCTCAATTATACTTAATCTTATATTGTTTCTTTTTTATCTTTGGTGTGATCTTTGGTAATGATCCGATCATTCTTTCTGGAACGGCTTTTTTAACTTATTTTTTAAAGAATTGTGGAATCATCAATCCAACTGCTTGGATCTTTATGGAATTCTTGGCTTCTAATATTGCAAGTGCAGTCTTGGTTAGTAGTAATCCTACTAATGTTTTAGTGGCTCAAGCTTTTGATTTGAATTTCTTAACGTAAGTGTTTTTTGGTTGTTGTTTGGCTTGAAAATGAAACTCGTGTTGATCAAGTTTTGGTTTGGTTGACTTTAAAATCGTCTGATTTAGAGGGTTTACCAAGTATACCATTCTACCATCCCTAGCTGCTGCCATAGTCGGATACATTCTACTTTACTCAGTTTTCCGATCTTTAACCGTGCCAGATACGCATCCTAACTTATCACCCACCATCACCCATGAAGAAACCCAAGCTATTTCCTCAAGCATCATCTCATTCAAGAAACTCGTCAAGTTAATCAAAAAACCATTTGCATTAATTCCAAGAGCCAATTATATTCCAGATCGATTAAACCAACCAAGAGTTTCACCCAGATCAGTTTTAAGTGATCCACAAGCTGCATACTTTCATGGTACATTAATGATCCTAACACTTTTGGTTTTGTTTGGTACGACGTTTGTGAAGAATGTATCGGTTTGGGAAATCACTTTACCTGCTGGATTCTTGGCACTTTTTAGAGATTTGATATATGATTTGGTTTACTCTAAAGTTACTTTTGAATCATCATCATTATCAAATTCACTTCAGATGAATGAAATTCAAGCAAAGGTTGAAGAGGGTGTGGTGATGCCAGTAGACAAAGTTGATAATCAGATGTCTCTCAAAACAAATGGAGTGGTGGAATGTCATAATGAACAATCGGTTAGAAATGAAGCATATCAAAAACAAAACCAAAGCGACGGTGTTGTAATAAAAGATGAACTAACTAAAGTCAACTCGATCATCCCAAAAGAAACATCAAACTTAAATCTATCAAGAAGATCTACACTTACATCATTTTTTAAATACGTTAATCAAAGGGTTCCAATCACATCTAGAACGATTGAAAAATTACCATTACCACTCTTACCATTTGCAATTTCAATGTTTATTTTGATTGCTTCGTTAGGATCATTAGGTTGGGTTAAAGTTTTTGCAAAATGGTTTTTAAAGATTTGTTCGAATCCGGTTTCTACGGTTTATTTTATTGGATTTTTAGGTAGTTTAATCTTTTGTCCATTCTTAGGTAGTTGAGTTTATAATTTTCTCTTTTACAATTGATTTGTTTATTTTTTCTCTTGATCATAGATGGATTGATGAATTGATTTTTTTTTTGGTTTTGAATAGCGAATATTGGAGCTACGATTTTATTAGTAGAAATTATAAACCATGAAGAATTTAAATCGAATCCGAAAATCATCTCAGAACCCAAAATTTTAAAATCAGCAATTTATTCCATTTCAATGTCATCCAACATTGGAGCTTTTAGTTTAACTTTACCTTCTTCACTTGCTGGTTTACTTTGGTATGAAATCTTAATTCAAAAAGGTATCTTGATTAAGAAAAGAGAGTTCTTTGGTTGGAATTTAGTACCCGTTTTGGTTTTGGGATTTGTGGCTTATAGTATTGTATTAATTGAAGTTTTGTATATTTTTTAAAATTGTACCATATTGTAAAGAAAAATAAATACTTGGTTTGAGGAAAATGATTTGAGGGTGTGTGTGTGGGTTTCGGATGTAAAGAATTAGATTCTTTTTTGGTTTGGATGATTGTTGTTGGAATTGATTTTTCCTTTGTTAAACTTGTGAACCAGTTTGGAAGAAATGGTTTTCGAGTAAAAAATCAAATCAGGACGGATATGTTTTCAAGGACCATTACGAAAATACCAAGGATCAAGTAGTGTGAGGAGTTGGAGAACTTGTGTCAAACCTCTCAAAGTTTGATACCAAAGAATGAGATCGTCTAATGTTATCATACGCGACGCCACGCGTAATATTATTACACGTATGTGATATGAAAGCAAATCACGACGTTTGACTCCATGGTCACCATCAACTCGATAGTGGAACTATCAAAAAATTTTGGACCACTGGAGTGGATCAGAAAGATTGATAAAGTGACCTTTGTGCTTGATCCCCGGGTCTCCCTAGTAAAAGGCGAGGGGGACGTTCGAGTATGAGACCAAACACGCCACGTGTTTATCGAACGCAATTTGGGTATAAGTACCTTTTGAGAAATGCGTCAGTTCGAATCCCTAGTAAAACTGCTTTGATAATCAAAGAACTCCTTTGGAAACCTATGGTTGAGCCATTGGGTTGATATCAAAACCATGTCTTGTAATGGTATCGAGCTGATGTACGTAGCATTTGAACTGAAGCTGATTTAACAGATGGTCTAAGACTATCCACACATCAGTTCAATCTGCTCAAATGTAGGAACGGTGTGGCTTTCTAGACATTATACTTTGATTATCAAGCAGCGGTTCTCTACACTTTCAAGAAGCTAAGGGCCCGTTCGGTTGCCGTCAACCTCGCAGGTTGACCCAGCCAAAAGTTCAGGCGTACGCTTCAAGGCAGTTTGAAGCGTACGCCTGGGTGTTGTGCCGTTCGGTACACCCTTTTTCAAAAAGGGAGAAGCGTACGCCCCGCAGGTCTACCAGCCAAAATGGTCAACCTGGCAGGTTGACCGTTTTGCTGCATTCTGGCAGGTTGACCTGCCTACTGCCATGAACTTGGCTCCGAAAAGAAAACTCTATCAAATCGATTCGATTCATTTTTCTTTCTTTCTATATTTAGCTTATTTTATTCACATAAATGATGATATACATTCACTCAAAACAGAAAATAACAAACACACCATCGTTATGTTTCAAAAAACAGCTTGAAAATCCAAAATCAAAGCAACATGAATCGTAACTTTTAGGTTAAAAGCCGAGTAGGAGCTTTGAAGACAATTCGTTGACAGTATTTCAACTTCCAACACAGGCAGCTTAGGACGATCTGTGTATGGCTTGATTCGCTGAGATGAAATATCAATCAATATTGAATTAAGGTGAATGGGTGGAATGAAGTATTGTTTGTGATCAAGCATTTTGGGCTGTTCAAAATCATGTGAAAGACTTGGGGTTACATGTATATCATATACCTAGCATAGATATGATACCGGACAAAGTTAAATCATCATGTGCAAAAGTTTATACAAAGTACATGAGTGATTTGCAGAATGGAGGGCTCTTAGCAAAAAAAAACATCCCGGGAAGAGCATACAATCAAGGCTATAGATGCTTGTTCTAGCAGGAGAAAACTATTCACTTTCATAACCTCTTGTCTTATATATACCCTTACTTCTACTTCCAAAACAATCTAGGCTCTATATCAGAAATCAATCAATCTTATATGAACTTGGAAATCCAATATCGTCTTGCCAAGATGTGTTATAGATTTTAAGATTTTTTTTTCCTTCTTAAGAATTGGTGATCTGTGAAATCTATAACACATCTTTCTATCTAAGAGAATCTTTGGTTTCCAAGAATGTTTATAAACTCTATTGTTTCTTCGATGTAGGTCCAGTAGTGTTGTTGAAGTGTACATTGAGGTATATAGGTTTGTATTATCCAAAGACAAGGTAAGAAAGAAAATAGTTTTCTGCTGATAGAATGCAAGGACTGGCTTGATTTTATGCTCTTCCTGGGATATTTTTTGTTGCTCAGAACCCCTACATTGGGTAAATCACCTGTTTGTTATAAAGTTTTACAAATTTCCTTTGAACTTGGTGGTACATTTTATGTCTTCTTTTCCATATGGGTCATGCCTGCTTAACTTGTGATTGGTATACTCTATCTACACCTTTGATACTTTGAATGACGGACTCGTAGAGAAGGATGGTTTTGATGGATGTATCATAAGAGTTATCCTGCACTTTATTAAATCATGATCTACGTGGTTCAAAAACACTTCTCAAAAAAAAAGTTTTGATCAAAAGTTTGGTACAGTGATACGAAGCTAGCAATGGGACTTGCTCAAGGATTATCACTGATCAGTTTTTTCCTTCAATTCTTGTGATATGTGTTTTACATTTCTAAAATGAGGAATTTCAAAAGCCTGTAGTATATGAGCTTGAAGCTGATCAACATTTCAATCATGATGTACTCTTGCAAAGGCTGAGCAATCAATGATGGAACTCATTGCAATGTTTTGCACGCGCGCGACCCGATCGATCGGGACACGATCGTTTGTCACGGTGTCGGACGTTGATCAATGTTTTTTCAGATTAAGAGCGCGCGCCTTGTTGACCTTCGATTCCCTTGCGAGTTTCGAGGATAAGATGGAGGCTGAAGGCCCAACCGAAAAGTGCAGATCCTCCCAGGATGATATACCCAAATCAGCTCCTTCGTTATTTTCAACTGATACCCATTACACCGCTTGCTCTCTCGAGTTTTGTCCTTCGAAACCCAACTTTTTGGTTTGCGGACTTTATCAAACTGTTCAATTGAATGGATCACAGTCGGCTGAAGACTTGGAATCACCCAAGACCGAACGTCTGGGTAGATGTTTACTCTTTGAACAAAAAAATTACACGAGTTCCGTCTCGGAGATGGATGGTGATGCTCAACCACCAAAGTTGGAGTGGTCAGTGAATTGCTCGACTGCTTTCATGTGTTCATATATATTTTCGCGTTCTGGAAGGACTTTCAGTGACAAAAATCTTGAAATTGTGATGGTCTTCGGGTGATTTTCTCCACTTGTTCGTATCTAGTAAACAAATACAGCAGATCGATGGCCCGGCAATTTTGGACCAGAGATGGTATGTGATCTTACAGCCAGAGATCGATACGAAATGCAATATGGCTCATCAGGATTTTTTGTACCTGCTATGCACAGGACTCAGGATTCAGATGAGCCGATCCTCATCACGGCTGATGCGCAAGGATTTCTCAACTCTTTCGTCCTGGCGAATGATTCGGTTAGTTATAGAGAAACTTATAAACTACGAATTTCCGTGGATTTCGTCCTGGACTACGAGATATCCTAGTACAACCTATCAACCGTACTCTGATCAAATCGGTCGTAGTTCATGGCTCGATCCAAAAAGGCAGGTAAGGTGCATTACGCTAACGAATTTTGCACATTTTTTGGTGAGGTAATAAGGATCCAGACCACACACAGCTCCGGCCAATTGAAAAATATTCTTGCGCTTCTAAAGATACATTATGTCTGGCCTTGGATATATCAGATAAAGTACAACGGTGAGTTTTCAGGTTTCAATTTTGCTTGATTTCTAAGAAAAATCTGACATGTTTGGCAAAATCAGTGCAAGTGATCAACAGGTAGTGACTTCACTTTCGAATGGTGAGATCGTTTTAATGGATCTTTCCTCAAGCAATCATCGACTTGAGGAAACCTCCCGCTGGCACGCTCACGATTTTGAGCCATGGACTTGTGGATTTGATTATTGGCAACCTTCTACAATACTGACAGGTAAAAGGTTTAGTTTGTCTTTGACTATTTACAGAACTGATATACAATCATCATTTTCTCGTCACAGGAGGAGATGATTGCAAATTAAAGATATGGGACACTCGAAGTGGAACAAGCCAGCCTATATTCACTTACAAGCAGTAAGCTTCGTCGTAGATTTTCTTGTCTGCAATTATTGTATTTCAGTATGAAAATTTCCTGATTTATTTCGAGGTTTTCAGATTCGAAGGTGGTGTCACTGCCGTACGTAGCCATCATCTGAGAGAGCATATATACGCTGTTGGAAGGTAAATCAAGTTTTTTCTAGTTTGCGGAATGACCTGTTGAATGATTCACGCGTCTTGATACGAGTTAAATTTATTCTTATGAAAAATCCATTTTTGAACGAAAATCTGCAACAGCTACGACGCGCACCTGAGGATATTCGATAAACGATACATTTCCAAACCTATATGTGACTATGACGTAGGAGGTGGGATATGGCGATTAAAATGGCATCCAACTCAAGCTAATCATCTTCTAGTAGCAGCGATGCACAACGGGTTCGCGGTGATGGATATACCTGAGTCTGATGAGCAGGCTGTACGAGTCCATACACAATTCACTGAACATGCTTCTCTTGCTTATGGGGCTGATTGGGGAGAGGAGCTAAAACTAGGTACACAGGGCACTAGTACAATCGTTGGATCTTGTTCATTTTATGATCATCTTATGCATATCTGGGCATTCGAATCTTGAATGATACAAGTAAATGCTATGGCTTTTGCTATGACATATCGAACTCGATTAAAGAATGGCTTGCTCAGTCGCGTATCAGCTAGCACGCAGGCAGAGGCTGTGTTTGTCCTCACATGCGCATATATTCTTCCCGATGAACTCATCAAAACGCGAGACATGGCACAGTATTTCAAGCGGTAAAACTGATTACATCTATGGAATCAACATGAGGATATACTTTTCACAAGGTATAGTAGAGATGAAGTGATACTATATAACAAGCCATTTTCCTTCTCAGCGCTAAGCACATTTATCAAGATTTAAGTCTAAAAGAAAAGAAATAGAGGGAGATGTGATATCTTTGCAGGACAAGAAAGATTTGAGTCCGAGACGTTCAAAGGTAAAATTAGAAAGGAGCTTCCCATCAATTTTTTCGATTCAAAAACCCCCCAAGTCCTCACGGGTCCAGATCAGTAAAAGCACTTTCGATGATGTTGGACAGCAAGTGCCAACATGGTGAGTAGATCCCACTGTAGAAAAAAACATAAGCTCTTTGCTTGCTGGCCAAAGGATGAACAAAGAAATACTCACATCTGGGATAAAACCATTGTTAGTGACAACAAAGACCTTGTCATCAATAGTAAACGGTAAGTTTGGTAAGGTCGACTTAAGCTTTTGCTCTGAAATTGATAGGACACAGTTAGTTCTATGATCATCTAAGCATATCAATCAATTATAAACTTACTTGCTATTGATCCTACAAGGCGAGATGAATTGCTTTCGACTATATCACCTCCGAGATCAAAAATGTTTCGCATAAAGGTGTACTGAGGTTTAGGGAACGCTGGATTCTTAATGTACCATCTGTCGGGTAGCAATCCTCGTGGATCGAGGGTGATTTTGGTTCCATCATCTGCGAGCCAATCAGTTTCTTTTCCACATTTTCCTGGGTACTTTTGTTTTGGAAAAAAAGACAGACAAATGAGTGATTGCATACCACCAAAGACAGAATGATTCATCAGTTTCTGAAGAGCCTGATGCTTGTGGGGAACTGAATCATTTAAAGATTAAATGTGGCTCAACTGCATCAACTTGGAGTTTCTTCTCGCCTGTCGAACCGACCTTGACGACAATGTCTTCAGAAGTTGCGTTCATTCCTGCTGCCTTTGTAATAACATATGCGAGAGGACCGCCATTGTCATATATGTTGAAGTCCTTCTCTGACCAGCTAATGTTTTGACTGAGAACAAATGTTCTCACACTTCCAACCGCTCCACTATAGCCTTGAGTATAGTTGGAAGTTATGTTGAAGGTGGTTGAGTTGGCTCCATCAGTTGTAGAATTGAGTGAGATGGTCGCATTGGATGCATCACTCGCATTCACAGAGAGCAACGAAGTACTATTGTCCATGGAGAAAGAGTCATTTAACGCCACTGCATCTTCGGTGTTGTTGCGGGAAGAGCTGGTACTGTTGACAGACGCTAGAGTCTCGTTGAATAGCCCAGTGGTGTTATTTGATGAGGCATCATCGGTCAAAAGAGATGCGCTTGCATTATAAGCACCATTAATTGATGCGGATCCGTCGAAAGCAGTCGAGTTCGAAACCCCAGCTGTGATATTGGAAGAGTTGGTGAGAGTCGAGTTTGCATCGGTAGAGTTCGAAATGGAATCATCTGTAACGCCAATTGATGCTAAAGACGCAAAGGAGCCGCCTGTAGATGAAGTAGCATCGCTAGCTGGGGTTGCATCGGATGACAAAAGAGTGGTGGTTCCGCTATCGGTAGTGTTCGTGGCGGTACTATTCGTGGAATCTACGCTTGCGCCCGTGGAGTTGTACATTGTCAGATTGGCGGGATTGTCGACATTGTTGTCAGATGGAATGGCCCCTGAGCCTAACGGACCGGCTGATGCTTTATCACTCGCAGCGAGACTCAGCACACTGATGATCACAAAGGCTTTCACGAGGCTTCGCATCTTGAGAAAGTTTGTGGGAATAGAATGGAAAAGCTACGTGATATTCTTGGGAAATGAGATGAAAGAGATCTTTGTAGGAGAGGAATTGATATTTGAGTAAAGCGCTTTATGGAGAGCACTGCTTAGACCAAGAAGAAACTATCTCTACTTTGATATATGATGAAAGAACAATTCATTTACTGTGACTGGTCTGAAGCCTTTTATAACACAAATTTTCTGATTGTATCAACTCAAAACTCGTCTTGTCAACTGACGACATCATCCGATATGTGTTCGCATTCATGATCACATAAAATTTGTCATAATACTGCAAATGAAGGATTGTTGGCTGGTAGGTATAAGATAAAGTTCTAACCCCGGCTGCAAAAAGGTAGCTATGTTTTTGAAAATCCGTCTCTCGGACTTGCCACAGAGACTGAAAAGGCCGCTGTATTGTGGACATAGATCCTGCGGGCGAAAAGATTGCTGCACATTTTGTGCGAATATAAATGCGTTGATGAAACTTGATGAAAAAAGGTATTGAAGAAGTGGTCTGAACGTTTAACTTCCGCCAAGGAGATTGGTCAGGTATGTGCTGGTTGATGAGCAGTCGATGTCTTGTGACGATAAACCAAGCAGAGACTTCAAGAAATACATCTTGGCGGGATTGTTGAGAATGAATGTCCAGAGGATTGATTGAATGACATTCGAAGCGTGTTGCATCGGGCAGCGATCAAATCCGCATTTCACAAGTACTTGTATGCCGATGGTCTGAGACCATACCACTTGGGACCGGCACTACTCCGAGCCTTTGCAGAATCTGCCGCAGATTTTTTATCAGGATGTGTGAGCTGAGGCAGGTTCAACCTGATCAGGTACTGCAGACACACGTCTAATTCCCCAACATTGGATCTTGAAGATGTTTTGTATGAATTCATGGATCACGCATGCTTGCTCTGAATCTAAGCCAATTGAAATGCCTCAAGGTAGTCCAAGGGCTTTCAAAGCATTGCAAACAACTTCAAAAATGTTCATTCGTGCCGGTTGCATACTGCCAACATACAGTGATTTTCATGTGGGAAAATTCCATTTAGATCAACAAATGATTGAATCAGCATTGAATCAGCATTAGGAGGGCTCAGGTCAAACTGCTTTGATGCTTTGACCGTAGAAAACTTTTCTCAATTTCATAATATTTATGAAAAAGTTTATGAATATTAAGGGATGTCAAGTTAAAAAAATCAGTAAAATATAACTATCTCTACAGCTGAAGTCTGTATAAAAATGTCTAAATTGTAAAAAATACCTTGACAAAAGCTTACCATGAAAAGCACCTGCTGGGTCTCAGCTGTTCTCAAACCATTTTAATTTGGTAAAAAAAAGTGGTAAAATGCAGGAATTGCTAAAGGTATTGATAGACCAAAACATCAAAAGAAAAGTGACACTAAAGTATTACAAGACCTGACTGTGTTGGGTAGAGAATAAAGTAGTATATATGCAAACTGAATGCTTCTGAATACAATGATTCTTTTGCAACTCATTTGAGCAAATTGACTCTCATTTCAAAATATCTGGGGGTACGGGGATTACATATATAAAACATTTTTGAGGACTTCCTGCTCAAACCTCAACTATGGATCCATGAAATTATATGAAAATAGTATGTGTTATTATTACAACTTCTATGTTAAGTTCTTGTGAAGAAGAAGAAAGCAACTGATGCAATTCGCTTGCAGATATAAATTCCATGGAGTCCTTCACAATGAGGATTCAAGCCGCTACGAGCCAGCGATCAGAGCACATAGATTCTTTGCCCAGATTGTCTTGAAAAACAAATTCAAATAGAGTCATAAACCCTTCAGATATTTCATATCCTTACTACTAATTTGGAACTCTGAAAGTTCTTGAGGTGCATGATTCAGTGATCTTGCTAGCCAATACTAAGAAGTTCATGATCTTTATGATTTCTTGAAAGAAAACACTGATATGTAGAGAGCCCAAACAACATGCAGTCAAACCGGAAAAGCTTTTCAAAAATTCCCCGCCAATCTGCTCGAGTTTTGCGGGCATAATCGGTCAAGCTTTTGCGATTTGACTGTATCTTCTTTAGAAAATACCCTTGCTCTTGTAGACCTCAACATTTGACGATTTTAAGAGTCAATGAGAAATTTTTATCTCTTTGTTTAGTTTGCTAAAGAACATGGATTGAGCTTTATCTTTCTTGCTTTAAATGATCAAATTTTAACACCGGTGAAGTTCATCACCAGTTCCTTCTTCGTTTCCTTCCTCTTCTTCGTACGGATCCCATTATGTATACACGAAGAAACATTTTTGTTGCATCAGTGACATCTTTCCACCGATCGATTCTTTCATTCGGTTGTCTTTTCATCTATCTTGTCGTACGTACAAATATCAAAGTAAGTTCATATTCTTTGGTACTTGGTCTGTAGACTATAAATCCAACTAGTGAATCTCTTTCTTTAATCTCGATTCTCGGCACTTTTCGGAACAGAACCCAGAAGTCTCGAACTCGGGGTTCCAAAGTCCCTATAAGGTTACCAACCATACATATGCATGATAGATGCTAAAGATTCATTAGCTTGAACATGATCCGAAAACTAATCGTATTCTTGGTGATGTATCGCACTTGTGACTTAGGTACATAGATAGATCTGACTTCTTTAAAGAAGTTTTATAGACCAGAAACAAAACAAAGGTTTCTATACATACCTCAAAGTTCTTAGTGTGTGTAAGGTTGTGATCTCACTACGTATGAATGTACGTGAAGCTCATTTCAAGGAATTGGAAGAGATCACGAGAGATATAAAATTGATTGATAATACTATTTGTAAAGGTGATCTCTATTCTTTTTGGATTTTTTTAGTCTACACTAGTACACATGCATCTGCATAGAATCAATCAAGCTCTCGTTTAAAGGATGTCTTTAGTCTTTCTCAGCTTTAGCGTACGGGGAAAATGGTCACAAAAGATAATCAGACTATAGATCTTGGCAACTCTTCATAACAACTTCTAGTCGATGATGACATAAGGTGATGTAAGTATCTATGGAAAGATTGTCATTGGGAAGATCAGGATTTAAAAATCACCTCAAGGCAAACTTAACATAAGTCCCAACGCGGACCTAACCACCGACTCCACCTCAAGGTGGTTTCTCAATTCATGCGAATCTCGATTCTCATCTCGAATCTCTTCTGGTGTTTCCTCAATGAGATATGTATGTATGTAGATACATACATAAAAGAGATGTGCTTAACTTTTCCAACCAAATCACTTCTCCTGTCCACGCTTCACCTTATCTTATTCCCCGTATGTACACACGAATGATATCCATTTCCCCGACCGATGATTGATCACAGAAAGAAAATTGTGTACATACATGCACTGCCTGCCACTGTGTATCTGCATACATATACTTCGAGCTCGTCATCTCTATCTTTGGGAACCTCAATATATGTACATACATATCCCGGTACGGAGTATCCCAATTTTTTTTCCCTTCTCAGTTTTGATTGATTGAGTATATGATTAATTATTGACAACATTTTCTCTGGTGTCCAATTACAAAAAAATTGTATCTTTTTTGTTGTTGTTGTGATGAATCGATTTTGACAGAGGTGCAATAAAAATTCATAAGACGAAGAATTAAAGATAAATGATCAACTTATCACACACACACACACACATTTTCTTTTATGACAATAAGTTTTGATTAATTTGAGAATGAGAATAGATTAGAATACATAGAAAAAGAGTCTTGAGAAGTAATCAAACACGATGCTCATTACCAGATCTGATCACACATGCAAAATCGATTTAGAATCAGTGGCGCGTGTCCACTAGGAACGTCTTTGCGACTATATATCTCTGAGAAATGATAAGGAGAGCGAGAAAGAGAAGGCATAGCGAAAAAAAAGGTGATGAAGATGGAAAATCTTCAAGGATAATGCAATGGACGATTGCTTCCGCAGTGACTGCGTTTGGTCACGTGATGGTGAGATGATAGCTGTACGAAATCAGACACCCCCGTGAGTGATCATAAGAACCTGAAACTGAGAAAAGCTTGGCTAAACTCTCGGGGGAAACTGTCATACTGCCATTTTCAAATTTTAATGCACATGGTCTAGATTAGCAAGCTGTAGCAAGTCCATAGCACACTTTTATTTCCTTATGTTGATACCAATACCAATACCAACTTCAAGTGATACTCTCTTTGAAGAGAATTATACAAAGAAAACCCAAAACAAACAAATGTGGATTGATCGATCAGGGAAAAGCGGTGTGATGTTTATTTTGATGATGGGGTGTTTTAGATGAATCGCCAAGAGCAGAGATGAAATGAAGATGTATAGTGTTTTGATATGCATGAATTTGAAAGGTTGAAGTTGAAGTATGGAGAAAATGAAATATGTAGATCATCAGCAGTGTTGTTGTGGTTGTAGTTTGAGAGAATGAGAGTTCAAGAAGAAGAAGAAGAAGAAGAAGAAGAAGAAGAAGAAAAGAAAAGTAGATAACAGTCTAATTAAAAGTTAATCAAATTGTTATTGTAGAACTAGAACTACTAAAAAGAAATTGAACTATATTGTAGCTAGTAGTAGTAGTAGACTAGTTAGTTACATACTACTAGGTACTACTTTATCACCATCTTGAGTCCATTGAGTTGAAAACCATTTTAGCTAATTACCAACCAGTACCTTTACCTTACTCTTCTTATCTCTCTCTGTCTTTTAAAGTAATCTCTGAGTCTCACTCTGCTTGTCAATCTGATTTCATCTTACGGAATGTCAAATCGGTCAACACCTGCTTCTTCATCTCTATCACTTCAATCACCTACCACTCCCCTTCCTGACGTTGGAACTCGTAATTATACTATTCTCAAAGAAGTCGGTGATGGATCGTTTGGAACGGTTTGGTTTGCTGATTGGCATTCACCTCTTACCTTACCACCTGGAACTCAACCTCCCGGTCCAAGCTCAAGACCAGAATATAAAGGAAAACGTTTGGTGGCGATCAAAAAGATGAAGAAAGCTTTTGAAGGTGGTTGGGATGAATGTATGAAACTTAAAGAACTAAAGGTTGGAATCTCTCGATCTAGAACCCTTCATTTCTTAATGCTTTATCTTCTTGACCCTCATTCTCGATTTCGATTGTCTGACTTATTCTTTTGATCACTCTTTTTGACTCCTATCATATTAGTCACTACGAACGATTCCTATGCACCCATTCATCATCCCTCTCTATGACGCATTCTTACATTCTACCACTCGTGAACTTCATTTCGTATTCGAATGTATGGAGGGAAATCTTTATCAGCTTACCAAATCTCGAAAAGGTCGACCATTGGCGGGTGGTCTTATAGCCTGTATCTTTGAACAAATCGTACTAGGACTTCATCATGTTCATTCTTGTGGTTACTTTCATCGTGATATGAAACCTGAAAACTTACTCATCACTACTACCGGTCTTACCGATTATCCTCATGGAAGCCCTTTTGCTTTACCTACTGCTCCTCCTGAACGTGATGTGGCTGTGGTGGTCAAGATTGCTGATTTTGGTTTAGCTCGAGAAACTCGAAGTGCTCCACCGTACACCGAATACGTTTCTACGAGGTGGTATCGAGCTCCTGAAGTACTCTTACGGGCACGTGATTATAGCAATCCGGTGGATATGTGGGCTTTAGGTGCTATCATGGTCGAGACAGTCACTCTGAAACCGCTCTTTCCGGGTACTAGTGAGATGGATCAGGTTCATCGGATATGTGAGATTATGGGTGATCCTAAACATCATTATGGTCATGATGATAAAGGTCGACTTCGAGGTGGTGGTCAGTGGTTGAATGGAGTAGCATTGGCTGAGGCTGTAGGATTTAAATTTCCAGACGTTTGTCCCAATCTCTTGTTTCTTTTTCTTCTTGTTCCTCTGATCATCTTGTTTTCCAACTCGTTCAGTCTCCAAAATCATCCTCTTCATCAAACCTTGCCCTCTCTCACATCACCTCAGCTGATCCCTCTTTTCCGACTCATCCCAGAAAGCTCCAATGGATTTTGTTCAACTTTTTGATATGTCAAGCATTCCGATTCAGTTGGTGGATTGTTTACACGAATTACTTCGATATGAACCTACGGCTCGACTCACTACTATTCAGTGTCTAACTCATCCTTATTTCGTCGATGTTGCTCCTCGACTCATTCCACCAGCTCTCTCTGGCGCAGCGATGATCAATCCAGCGCACGCCAATGGTCTTCATTTACCTCGATCTAACGGACATCATCCTGGGGTACCTCATCTACTTACACCTAATTCAGCTCATTCTCAAATGGCACTTGATTTGCCTTCGATATCCCCCCAGATTGTTCCTACTTCATATACTCATGGGGCATTCCCCAAAGCTCGGCCAGCTCATATCTTAACACCCTCGAGTGGCCCGAATGGAGTAGACTCTGTCATGTCTGATCCAGATGGATCCGGGCATGCTTACACTTTCCCACCTACTGATGGTGCCTCTCCATCCGCATCAGCTTATCCACATCGAGGCGCAGTCGCCTATTTACCACCACCGCCTCCTCACCTTCACCCCGATCAGATCCGGCGGGGCTCTCACGGTAACGAAACATACTCTCAGCACTCCTATGACCAGCATTCTCCTGCGATCACCCGAGATCCTTCATTCCTATCTCTCTCTCCTGGCCATGCTTCATCGTCAGAGGGATTACCTCCTGAGCAATCGCCCACTTCTCGCAACCAACTCAATCCACCCATGACACATCAAAAGAGCCGCAGCCGAACTCTAGCGTCCGTATTTTCTAGCAGTCAATCCCTCAAACGAACTCCTTCAGATCGTGTACCACCAGATGCTCAAACTGGTCCATCTACCATTCATATCGATCCGAAGAAAGCTAAGAAAGAGGCCGAAAAGGCTGCCAAAGAAGAAGCCAAACTTGAGTCACAAGCTAAACGAGAAGCAGCTCGTCGATCAGCTCAAGAACGATCACGTGCAGTCTTACAGAAACAGAGACTCGCACAGGGTTCAGATATGTTGACACATTTGAATCCCGAATTTGGAGGACCGATCGGTCCTCGTAAGATTATAGACAAAGGTAAAGGTCGAGCCAACCTTCCACCACCGATGCCACAGATTGTTGAGGACTGTTCTCGAGTTCGTAATTTACTTGCGCATCAATTACCTCGACCGAGTGTTGCTGGGAGTAGAGATGCATTGCCAGTCGAACGACCTACCCATTACGATCTTGACCATAGACCATCATATGTGGACCCTAGACCGTCATACCGCGAGGAAGGTCGACGGTTTTCTGTTAACTCTTCTAATACGATGGATAGTGACCCAGGTCCAGGTGGACCTTCAAGGAACTTATCTCTACATCGAAGTCCTTCGTATGGTTCAGGTTGTTCTCGACTCTCAGTTGCCTCTTCACCTAACCTAGCGAGTCTCTATCGAGCTTCTACTCCTGCCTCTACGGCATCTTCACTTGATCATCAATTAGTTATCAATATGGCAGGTCTGACAGCAAATGAAAGGGATGGATCAGTAGGATTAACGAATGGAACAAACCATTGGCCAGGACCGGCAAGAGGATCAGAAGAAGGCATTCGAAGATCACGTAGTCCGAGTGATCCAAGATTTAGTCCATATCCCACCCGACCAAGTTTACCAAGTATATCAAATTTTGATTTTGGACCGAATGGACCACCACCGTTTCCTACTAATCCTAACAATAATAATGGTTCAAATCGACATGATCGACATTTATCTGTTAGTTCTGGATCACCTTCGATTGTTTCTAGTCATTCGATTTCCTTAGTTGGTAGTAATGGTAACAATATACCTTTAAGTCCTTATTCATTTCCTTCTTCTCCTCCACCACCTATTGGGAATGGTGAAACTGGATTTAAACATACTTCACCTTTACAACAACAACAATCACAGTCACATCAACAACAACTTCATCATCATCACCATCAACAACAACAACTTCTTCATCAACAGCAACAACAACAACAACAACAACAACAACAGCATCAACAATCGAATGGTAGGGATGATGAAGAAATGAGACAATAGTAGGGAAATGAGAGAAAAGTAAAAAATAAATAAAAAATTATTGTGAATGGACAACTTTCTTTTTTCTAGTTTTGAGCTTGAGGTTTCATTGTTACAAGATTTCATTAAAAGAAGTATTATTTTTTTTCCCAGGAGACACCAGCCAAGAAGAAGAGAGAAATAATTTAATTCTTTTGATGATTTGAGGGTATTAATGGGGAAAAGGGGAGGTTATAATAGTTTAGGTTTTTTTTTTGTGTGTGTGTGGTTTTTTAATGTGTGTGTGTGTGTTTGTGTGTGTGTGTGAGCAGAGAGGTTTCATGTTTTTTTCTTTCTTAAAACTTACTTTTTTTTTGTTCTTTCCTTTACACCTCAAAGAAAGTATGTTTTTTTTTTATCAAAACAAAACTGATTATTAAACAAATTTATTCATTAGTTTATTACACTTTTTTTTACTTTTTACTTTTTTGATGATGAGTCAAAGGAAGAGAACTGAAGGATATATAAAGAAAAATCAAAAAGATAATTGGATCCTTTCTTTTTGCTTTTTTCCATCTTCTATTGTCTTTGATTTTTCATTTTGCAAAGTTTGGGTTTTTTGATTTTTTTTATGAGGTTTTATTTATTCTTTGAAAGAATTTTTTTTTTTTGGTTTCTTGTTTTTTTTTGGGAAATTTCATATATTTAATTAATTTAAAGATATGAATCATTAATGCATTGAAGTGAGGATTTGATGGTTTATTTTTTTGGAACAGAGGGGGTGGGAGGAAGTCATGAAGGTGAGAGATGGACTTGGGATTTGGTTGGGATTGGGTGATGGATGGTGGGTTTGGGAATGGGATTAGTGGTGGAAGAGAAAAAAGTTGGTTTTGGTTGAGTACGTATTTGATGGATTGAAAGCTGGGGTGGGTACTCAAAGCAAGTAACAGACCATCAGATGGGCAAAAATAGATACTCACCTACAAAACTTTAACTAAGTTCCAATGCTGGACTTAACCACCAACTCCAGTTAAGGGGTTTATGTCCAAGGTTGATTTTTTTGTGTGAGATGTGTTGGAGCTTTTCACCAAAAACTGGTGGTCTTATAAAACTTTTTTTTGTACTTCAAACTTTATACCTCCACATTTATTCTTGCTGGAGTTGGTGGTTAGGTCCAGTGTTGAGACTTAATTAAGTTTGACTTCACATAGGTATTAGGGGTGAGCATAGAAAATATTTATTGTTTTTTTTTTCCAAGATTTCTTCAATTTGAGTTGTGAATTCTTTTTTATTTTCTTTTTGTTTTCTTCCTGCTTGTTAGCTGATTATATGGTCAACAGGAACTGAGCAGATGAACTAGGTCTTCCTTGGGCTTTTTTCCTTAGCCAAAGAAACCTCAGGGAGGGCTGGCCCATCTGATCACTTCATCTCAGCCACTCAGTTGCATCCCCTGATCTGGGGGAGACTTGTGTGTTTTACAACCAAATCCTATATGGTATCAGAGGTTTTTGGCTGGTTTTGGACATGATCCACTGACAGAAAATCGGTCCAGAGTTGTCAAATTTCATATTTTTGGGTTCTATGTAGTGAGAAACAAACATGATGACGATGACCATTTTACAAGCTAGAGATTAACTGACAAAAGCCAGGATTTCTTGAAAACAACCATCTTGATATTTCATATCCCATATATTGCAATGGGAATTTTAATTCAATTGATTATCTGCACTTGAACATCTTTTTGTTGAAAAAAAGATTGGTGAAACAACTTTTTCAATTGTTGTAGAATACATGACATATCATTGGATTTGATTTGAAAGGTAAATCAAAAAGTCAATAAAGATATTGCTTTGAAATTTGTGCTCCAAATAGACTGAAACATGAAAATAAAGATATGTAATTCAAAACATATGAACATCATCAGACTTGAGTTTCATTGAATTATCAATTATGCAAACCACACCAGAGTTGATCCTATTCAGTCTTCAATCACATAGGTCAAGTTTCAATCTTCCTATTTGTGAATCACAATTTGGTAACTTTCTGGCCGCCCCTTCATGCAGGTCCATGGAGGCACAACCCAACATCAACAGGTCAAAGCTGGTGCTGTGACCCGGTCCTGAGTGTGACAGGGCACACCTGGAGCATTCTTGGGTAGACCCAATGGGATCCAGAAAACACTCAGGGCCAACCAGGGCACACCCAAAGGGCCCATGGGGGGGATCTGGTGTTTATTGCACATCTAGGTGTATGAAATTGCATATAAACCTTATCACAAATCTTTAGTGTTGCTACCCAAATAAGAATGTGTGCAGAGCTCAGCTGGCTTCATGAGCAAGGCTTTTCTGGATTTTTTTTGAAGGTTAGCTACCTGAACTGGTTTTCTCAAAGCCAAAACTTTGGGGATCTTGTCCTACATATCAGGTCAGACCATCACAGGACTCTCAGACTTGAGTATCAACCCAAATATTGTAAAAAATGGGGTGATTAGGTTTTTCAGGTAGGTGGGAAAAACTGATAAACAAAGAGGTCTTGAGAGTATCAGGCCATTAAGATGCTCATATTTTGCTTTGTAAAATATATGCTCATTTTCTTTGAACACATCCACCATGCAAACGAAGTGCTTGAGTATGCTTCTGTGTAGACATCGAATGCTTATATCGATTTTGCCTCCTCAGTAGTAGGATATATTCAAGTGGATATCTTTATAACTGAATTTGTCAAGTTCATCCCGATTGATTTTTGACTCTGTCAATTGATTCTCACCAAACCTCAACCTCATCAACTATATCTGATTCTCAACATGGCCTGGCCTGTCTTTCTACACCTTTCCCTAGGTTATGGAGATTAGTATCAACCCAACTTACATCTCGTCCTACAACTTTAAATCCGAATCCGACTTCAATCTTACGTCCCTCAACCACTTCTCTTGTCTTACCATTTACACAATCAAGATACGCAACTACACTATCGGATCTTAAACCAGCTAAAGGATCAACACATTCTGTTAGTCATAAAAGTTAATCAATTTAAATTAATGAATTGAGAACTTATATATTCTTCTGGGGCTTTTTTAGAGAAAACGGGTAGGAAGAGGTCAAGGTTCAGGGTATGGTGGAACTGCTGGAAGAGGTCATAAAGGTCAAAATGCTAATAAAGGAAATAGTCCAAGATTGGCATTCGAAGGAGGTCAAACACCTATCACTAGATTATTCCCAAAGAGAGGTGCTCATCATCCGTAAGTGATGTTGATTTTTTCTGGCAATTGTGATCATAGAAGCACAAGTAGTGTGAAGGATCAAGGACTGATTGATTGGTGTCATTGTTTATAGAACCAAGGTTGAAATGTCCCCTTTAAATTTAGATCAACTACAACTTTGGATCGATCAAGCAAGAATAGACCCATCAAAACCAATTACTATGAAAGAATTACTTGATTCAAGAGCTATACATGGTATAAAAGACGGTGTCAAACTACTTGGAAAGGTCATCTCAATTTCCATGTTGTTGTCAACGATCGCCAGTTTTCTTATGTGAAACTGATGACTCTTTAGTTCGACTTTGATTTTACAGGGTACGAGTCATTTCAACACACCAAAACTAACAATCATAGTATCAAGAGCATCGAAATCAGCCATAGAAACGATTGAAAACTTAGGAGGCACCGTAATTTGTAAATTCTATAACCGATTAACCTTAAGAGCTTTACTTAAACCACATAGGTTTGCAGCCAAAGAAAGGTTTTTACCATCAGATTTACATCCGAGTAGGAAACGAGATTGGATGAGATATTCAGATTGGAATCATAGAAGAGGGTATCTTGGAAATCTTGAATTAAGTAATGAAGTTATGAAGACTGTTAAAGAAGAGAGAAGAAAGATGGGTTGGGTTGATAGGGTTGAAATTACTAATGAAGTTAGAAATAGAGTTGAAAATAGTCAAAGTTGAAAGGAAGTTCAAAGTGATTAAAATTAACTTGCAATGTATTCAAGTTTTTAATTGAGGAAAGTTTATTGATTTTTTTCTGGGGATGAAGAGAGATTGTTATTATCATTTCACTAGAGAGTAATCAACTCCGATTGAGCGGAACTACTACAATCTAAACTCGTTGATTGAAGCATCATTCTGTAGACTGAACCGAGGCTCTTACTGTGTTTATTTGAGCAGTTCTCAAAGTCAGTTACAGATCTGAGATAGACATTGAGAAGTTTGTTTAATATCATTGTGGAGTCCTCCCTTGATTTTTCCTAGTGGGTTGTGGAGAACTAGATTGAATCATGAATTGCATGGATTGTCGAATGCTGATGGATGGGTATTGGCATTGCCAGTGACCATGGTTTTCATGACAGGGACCAGGGTATTTGTTGAGACCTTTCACACTCAAGAGTTGCCTGTGAAGTGCCAATTTTCAGACTGTGACATCTCTTGACAAACTGTGAAAGTTGGTTTGATCGAATTTTAGTGGAAAAAGCTTTTGAAAGTTGAAAATCCAATTTAGTCCTTCTTCACCATCACCCTCACCCCTCACCCATCACCCTCATCCACCTCAACGGTCATTCAAATCTATCAACATGACCATCGATTACGTTCCTGATCTCTTTTCTCACCTTTGCGAATTCCTTGAAGATACCTTCACGCGTCCAGATCCATCATTGGTACCGAAACTAAGGCTTGAACTTGATAGAGCGCGTCCTCATCTCATTAATCTCTTAGACAAACCATCACGAAATGCAAAAGAGGCTGAAAGGATTAGAAAAGGTATGCTTCCCTTTCATTGATGAAATTTATATCAGGAATGATTATATGATGACTTACAAGTTTTTATACGTGATTATGAACCCACATAGGCCAATTTGTTTATCAGGGTACCACGCACAGCCATACACCTGATTTCACACAAGAAGCACTTTATCTATCCGAACAACTTGATATCTCCGAGAACAATTGTGCAATACTTTTACAACATGGAATGTCAAGAAAATCGCGATACGGTAGAGCAAATGCAGATAGTGCTGTAATCATGTATTATCGAGAACGATCAGCACTTTTGAGATCTTTGAAATTGATTTTTCAAGCTGGAGATTCAGAAGAAATGATTCAAAGTGGAATGACAGATGAATTAGAAAAGTTTAGACAAGGCTTAGTAGAGAGTTCAGTAAAGATTAATAATAAACCATTTAATTGGATTGATAAAGTATTTGAAGAAGTTAAAAATTCAAAAAAAGAAATCCAAAAACTTAAGAATCAACTTACTTCAACCACACCGAACTTATCAAATCAAACAACTACACCTAATTTAGGATTCGGATTTGGATCAAGTTTAAATAATTCAAATAATCAAACTTTAACAAGTTCAAATAATGTGATTGTAAAATTTAGTGATGAGATTGTTCAAAAAATGATGGAACAACATCAATCTGAAAGAAGAGATTTAGGTCAAATCATTTATCTTATTGGATTCGCTCGACTTTTTCAACCATCTCATATTGCTTCATTAATCGATAGTTTAGCCGAGATGGATTCTCAAGATCCTTTGATTTATCATTTTCTGACAACTTTCTTAGCTGCTATTGATGGGGATTGTACTTCTGTGACTGAAGCGGAGTATGATTACTTTCTTAATATATGGAATGATACAGCTTTCATGCGCGATCTTAATCAACGTTTAACTTCCAAACGATGGCTCGTTAAGCAGGCGAAAGCTGTTGCATTGCTACAATGGTGCCTCTTCCTCGGTTCAGCATACCAGTGAGTGATCTCCACCCCGGTCGGTCTCTATCTAGTACCAAAGGCTAGTGTTTTATTGATGGTTTTCATCTGGTAGGCAAGAACCCAGGTTAGAACACGAGACTGAAATTTGGGAAGACCAAATCGATCAAATGGTCATGGCATCAATCCAAAATGGCGCATTTCCTTTCATGGTGTCTGATTTACTAGGTTTCAAGAAGAAGAGCTTGTTGGAAGAGTCACCTTCTCGCGTATTAGGCCCTCGGTCTGAAGAAGCAATGCGTACCTCGACTGCTGATGACCTACTAGGAATCGAGGAAGACTTTAGATCTGAAGTAGTTTCACAAATCGATCGACTTATGATCAGTTTCGTCACCTCGTTACAATCAGTTCTCCGACGACTTCGAAATCAGGAAGAAGATGCATTCGTTTCAATGTCAATGCAATTTCGACCAAGTCCTCAATTTACGGCTCCTGATGCATTTGAAAATACACCTGCACCTCCGAGACATGACATTGAAGCATTATTTGAAGTCATTGCTGCATTGCATCGCGATACATCTGACTCAGCACTGATTTACTGGGGAGTCGATGAGGTGGAAGATGAAATGGGGTCACCTGCTATGATGTCTGGCCGGTCAACCAAACTGACTGGGTTTGTGAGATGGGCATCAGAATGTCGGCAACTTGGCATGGTCAAATCATTTTACGAAATGCTCGCTTCTTTAGCAACTGGACCTCGTTGTAGTGATTTGGCTTATAGTTTCCTTTTGGCTGGATCTTGTGAAGAGAATGGTGTGAATCCACCACCAAACTTTGGTCGGATTGGAGATGGTCATGGGGGTTTAAACATTCCGAGTTGCGCTTGGTCTTCAATTTTTGGTCAATTACAATATTATATTCAACTTTTACAGAGTAACGTTGGTCAAAAGAAATTACAATCCGATCCTCGTCAATTGGCGCCAGCTGAATTATCAATACTCAAAGGATACGCCAAGATTATTCGACAAGTGGTTAAATATTCTCCAACTGCTCAAGCTACTCTTTATGATCACCAGAAATATAAACCGATCCAAACTCTATTTGCTTTGGCTGCATGTCCGATCTCTCTCGATCTTAAAGCTGAGCTGTTACTGGCCATCGCAGCCTTTGCGGCCCCGGGAAACAAAATTAGTCCAGATATCGCACGCAAGTGTTGGCTAACGTTGGAGCATAGTCAAATCTTATCAACTCATGTACTCGAATATCAATCCAGTTTCGGGCTAGGTGGCGCTACTCAAGGTGGTTACGCATCTGGACAATTAGCTCAGACTGGGATCCTTGCTGAACTTGACGAAGTTGAAGCGGCTAATAGGATATACCCAAGTTCGACTGCCTTTATCACCCTCTTGGTCGCTCTGATTCATCCACCTATGCATCGCTCACCTGTGAAGAAAGGTGAAGAACTCGAGTTACAATCGATTCCTGAAAATCTAGGCGCTTTATCGCGTTCGCCTGGTATTGATCCTTATGTTAGATTTGTGATTGATGAAGTCTTTCGGAAAGTTGGTTCACGTGATTTCTTATTTCAAGAAGAGCGTTATAAGGTTTTTGAAGTCTGTTTGGCATTTATCGAACGTTGCTTGACATCCTACGATGTTGCATCTTTCTTGACCAGCACATCATTACCCGAAACAGATCCTGGAAACAAAAAACAAGCACATCACCGAACTATCTTTAGTGCTGTCACTCATCCTGGTTTCGATATCTTATTAAGAATACTGAACAATACTGAATTGACGCGTCAGTTGTTTGAAACATTACTCAATGGACCTCGTTTTGTGGAAAACAGCCCTCAAAGATCAGATACGACATGTCGATGTGTACTTCGAACCCTGAGGATTATTAAAAGAGTCACAGAACTTCAAGGAGCTTTTCTAGGTGACGTCTTGCCTCACATTCTAGAATTTGCACCTGATATGATACCACAAGAGCGATTGGTTTGGGCGAAATCGGCACAAAGTTTGGATCAACATATCTTCTATTCAAACAGTGTGGTGGTATCTACAGCGGTTTTGGTAGGTTGTATTGCGGATGATGAAGTTGCATATCTTGCAGTCAAGCTCTTAGCGCATATAGCCGAATCTACCTTTTTCACTGCAGCAGATCACTTTCAAGGTCAATATCCAGGTCGAATGAACCGATTACTTGGATTATTGGATTCATCTGAAGAAAGTCTTTTGATTCTTGGTAACTTTATTGGTCGATTAGAAGGAGCAGCATCAAGTTTCCGTGATATAGATGATGATGATTTTGTGGTTGATTTATCGGGTGAATTAGATGATCGAGATATGACAAGAGTTCAACCTGCAATTAGAAATGCTATCTTGGATCTTTTATTACGAAATACTCAACCACATCGAGTTGCTCCTAATTTTGCTCATTATTTATTAGGATTTGATGTTCGGACACCTAAAGATACTCTAAAGATTGCGGACCCAAGATCACCAGAAGCCAAGTTGTCTTGTTTTCACACCATCTTAGACTTATTACGCATGGGACAAAGTGGTCCAGAAGGAGATGTACATGAACTAGGGTTCTCATTACTTGAGAGGGATACACTTTTAGCTGAAAAGGCATTCAAATTGATTCAACAATTATGTTTACATGATTATTCATCAAAGGCAGTATCTTATTACCTTAGGTCGACTGAACGATATTTTGTTACACAGGCTAGTATTCTGCCACTCAATATTCCAGCAAATCCTGAAGTTGTTGGAGGTGAATTGACTTATAGTAGTGGAGAGAAGATTGTGACAAGCTGTAGTTCAGTTGTGGCTACCTTGAAAGCTACTGCTTGGCTTTTGGAATCTATCTCACTTGAATTGAACGTCTTAACAGAACAGGTCCGCCGAGATAACGCTTCTGAATTAGTATCAGTTTTATTTGGATCAGCAAGTTCTTCAAATCAAGCAAGATCAATACTTGATCAAGCAGGAGCACCCGATCAATCACTTCCTAGGATGCAAGAATTATTTTTAAGATTAGATTTCAATTGGAAGAATTTTACTGAAGTTGAACCTCAAGGATTAAAGATCTTTGGACATTTAAATTTTGAAGAATGTTGTATTGAAGATGAAAATGGATGTCAATTATTTGATCTTGGTTCAGTTTTGAATTTATTAGGTGTTACTAGACAAGAAATGAAAAGACGAGGAATGTTAAATGGAACTGCTCAACAATTGGAATTACAAGATGAAATCAAATTTATCATTACATCGATTGTGATTGAAAACCAAAGAAGAGAAATTGCTTCAGCCCAATATCATATGCTTAGAGCTTGGAGTATACTTTTACGGTTGACTCTAACTCGAGCTTTTCATTTACTTCCACCAGAAAATCGACATGTGTTCTTATTGGATTTATTGGCTTCTGTACTTCCGAAATTGGTAGCAGGAGCTACAGATCCTAGCTCGGCTGAACTCTTAAGTGAGATCGTAGTGGCATTAATGATCAAATTAAGGCACGAAGGAACTCACTTGGAATCATTAGCACCTGGAGAAGCAACTCAAGCGTTTCCTTTTGATCGATTGATGCCTGTGCTAAGGGCTATCATCCAAAGTATCGTCTTGTCTAATACATCTAACGTTTTACGTGGAAATCTTTATGCTTCAATCTTGAGTTTTCTTCAACACGTTTATGCTACCAGTGCATGCCTAGATTCATCAAGTCAATCAAATTCAGAATCAATCGACATCTTAAAACTTGGAAATGAACCAACGTCTATGAACGATGAAACTTCAACCCTAACAACCCAACGTAAATCCAATAAAAGAAATTCATTAGAAACCAATACGATGTCAATGTTTTTATCATCCTTTGAAAGATTATTACCTATAATTTGTAAAGATTCAGTCATGGGAAATGAAGTTTGGAAATCTGTAGGATTTACAATTCTAGATTCGTTATTATTATTTTCAGATAAATTTCGTAATGGTGGTCAATTTATTAATGTTTTATCTAAGAATGGATTTTTGAAAGATTTTGTGGATCTTTTAAAAGATAATGAAGGTGATTTGATGGCTGTTCTAGAACCCGATCCTGGTAAGTCTGATTTAATATGTGTTTTTAGTTTATGTAATTTGCAGTACTAATGAACTTATTTTTTCGAATAGAATCTTTAAATGCATTATATGTTTATGAAACTCAAATGGCTTTCTTACTTAGAGTTGCTGCTACCAGAGCTGGAGCCGAGAAATTAATTGAAGCTAAAATCTTGGCTCGATTAGGAGAATGTAATTATTTAGGTCGTTCTTCTCAAGCACAACTTACTGATCCTGGTATGTAGAGTTTCTGAATGTTTGATTCCTTGAATAAAGTATGATGATCTTTTTCTAACGTTCAAGCAATCTGTTTGTAGAGTTTGATACTTTTATCCCTTCGGCATCGGAAAGGTATCATCAGTTGTTATTGCCTGCTTTACAATTAGTTGCAAGTATTTTGATTGCACTTGGATCTGAATCTTCTACAGCAGCACGAGAGGTGAGAGTTATTAAAATCTAATATGATTTCCATCGATTGTAAAATCTGACCATCAATTTGATCTTTTCAGGCAGTATCTTTCATTGCTGCTCAACGAGAAATGTTGATCACTTGTCTTAGATCTCCGGTTAATTTAAGTACAAGTGTAGGAATTCAAGAAGTACACTTAGTGACTACTATCTTAAGAATAGCTTTACCATTAATTGGAGATCAAGAAATGGTAAGTGAACTGATGATGTTTTCGTCACACTATGCATATATTGAAGATGAATTGATCTTTTTTCGTTTTAGGCTTCTTCAACTAGTTATGGTGCTATGCATAGTAGTTTACTTGCTATTTCTAGTACGGTTTGTGGTCATTTGAATTGGATTGAACGAGTGGGTCCAGTTACAGATAATGAAAGAGCAGATGCGACCATTAACGTTCCAGGTAAGATCATCAAGTCTATACCTGCTCAATAAGGCGCATTTCACTTATTTTTCTAATTTTTTTTTGGTGATTTTGTTTAATAGGCTCTACTACGAATTTCACTGTGTTTCAAGAAAAGATTAGAGATTTGGCACTTTCGTTGGTTGGTAGTGTACTTACTTATTTAAGGGTTGCAACTCAGAGAAGAAGTAAGTGTTTGTGAAAAAGTTTTAATTTGACTGACTTAGGAGGTTTTGTGGGAAACTGATTGATTGATTGATTGATTTTTCGGGGGATTGATTAGGTAGGATAAGGTTTATGCCTGTTCTACTTCCCACATTGAGACAAATTGAAGGTACAGCTGGAGTTATTGGTTGGTTTTAGTTTCGAAACTTTTGAAGTTTTTGAAGTTTTATTTATATACTGATTATATACTGAATGTTTTTGTGTTTTTATTTTTAGGACCAGGTCCTACCTTTAGAACGATTTTAGGATTCCTTAATGATTCAATCAGTTTATTGGAATTCACAATTTCACAAACTTCTATCTTAACACAAAGGTTGAATAATTGGTCAAAGATTACTAGAGATGAAGTCACTGAGGTAAAGATTTGAAAAAACATTGCTAGCTTTTTTGTGGGGGAATAGGGTACTGATCATGGTTTGAATTTTTCTTAGATTCTTGGAGAAGAAGAAACAGGGAATTATGTGAATTATGATTCAGATAAAAAGTTGAAGGCTAAGAAGAAAATATTGGAAACTCTTGGTCGATCTTCTTCAAGATCAGTAGTAATATCAAGTAAGTTTCTTTTAAAAACCCCTTTTCTTGATATGAAATATTTGATTGAGATGCGCGATGTTTTACTGATAAATTTGATTTCGTTTAGATATCATTGATATGACATTACTTTTGTTTTGGAAAGATGCAACATATCATTTCGAAAATGATGAACTGAATGAAATGCAATCCAATGAAAAGAAAAACCTTTTAACGATCTCATCATTTAAAGCTACTACCAATCATCAACAGTTTGGTAGAAATCAATTACAAGAATCTAACCTTAAAGAAGATACACTTAATTCACTTAGACCGATGTTTTATAGATTACAAAATTTAGATTTGGTTAGTAATTTCTTTCTTTCTGATGATGATGATGATTAATGAAAGAAAATTTGTGAGCTGATTTGGGTTTTTTTTGTTTTTTTGGGGGGAATGGTAGGCTAAAGGTGGGTTTAGTAAAGATGATATTAGGATTAGAAATTCTTATTTAGAAGCCTTAGTTAGAACTATTGGTAGTTTATTTCATAGTGTGACAGTTTGAAAGGAAACCAACCAATATCAATTGTGCTTAAGTGATAGTAGTTTGAGTTTAGTAATTCTTGTTTCTTATCAGACCTTCTGGTCTAGGGGTTTTTGCATTGAAGGAGGGGTTTATTTTGATTATATTGAATTCATTTGAAAGGGGTTTTTCTAAGTTGTAATAAATCGGTAGTTATTATAAAATTCATTAGTCTAGTCAAGAGTTCAAAACTTTAATCTTACTTGGAAAAGGGTTAGAATTTGATGAGATTGGGGATTTTGTTTTATTTGTGGTTTGTCAAATTCTTTCAGTTCTTTCACATAGCATTTAAATATGTTGTGTATTCAGGTGCTGCAGGGTGCTGCTATCACAAACATTGGACTTGAACTTGGATTAGCTGTTAAGTTGTACAAATAAAATACAACCAAACAAGAGAATTGGGCAAAGAGTAGCACTGAGCTGCAGCATGTGGAAGAATCACTAGATGACATGTATTTCTATTGATACAACCCCTTGAGTAGGTCATTCGTGCCGCATTTTTCCTACTTGTGATTGTGTTTTTGGGCACAAATTTTAAACACTGCAAAAACGTTGTATGAATGAGTGAAGAAAGTGTGCTCGAAGAGATTTACACATGAGATCAGTGTGTAAACTTTCAAAATATAGTGTTGAAACTTGAAAGGTTATAATTGGAATGGAGTTTTTGGTCACGGAAAGCGTTTCTTTCATGTAAAGTAACAAAGTAGTACACTGTATTTACAATGCTATCTCACACGAGATCAGGAACTATACATTGGTGAAAAAATAAAACCACTTCAACAAGTTTTATGGAAAGTCTTTTCTAATCGCGAAAGCCAGAATGAGTGTAAAGAAAATCTAAGGAAAAGTAATACAAGAAAGAACCCAAAAAAGAGTGTATTGTACAAGTACATTGATCGTAATCAAACACATCAAGGTCTATTCAGTCACGCTTTCGATTCAGAACAATTGGTTGAGGCGCTTGGGATGTTGCTTGTGGCTGTTGGTGCTGTTAACAGGAGCTGTGCTATTGACAGGAGCTGTGCTATTGACAGGAGCTGTGCTGTTGACAGGAACTGTGCTGTTGACAGGAGCTGTGCTGTTGCCATTGTCGGTCATGTCGGTCATGTTGGTGGCATTGCCCATCTTGGCACTATCACCCATAAGATGGTGGATGTAATACTCAATTCCTTCTTTTCTGAAATCATCAAGAATAGTCTTTGAAGCACCTTCATCGTTGAACTGCAAAAGCTCGCCCTTCACCCCGTATTTAGGCCATTGAACCTTGGTACCGTTGGTGTTAGGATTCTGAGTGTGTACAAATGACAGTAAACGGGATTGAATAGCTTGGCTTCGTCCAGGTGTTGGGGGTTTCAAGACGCTGATTGTAGTCACACCTTCGAATGAACCTGAAGGATTACCATACATGTAACATCAGCTAGTGTTCTCACAAACGAGCTTGTAGAATAGGATTTGGCAAGTTGAGGCATACCAAGGTAGGAGGTATTCTTCATACCACGGTCAATGAAGCCGAATACCGGTGTGGATGCTTGGACTGATCGAGAAAAGAATCTTCGCATACCCTGCGTGTACCAAAGGTAGATGTAAGTCAGAGCTGGTTTTAGTGGGAATTTCTTCAGATGTGGATCTTACCTGGAAGGCGATATCTCCAAATATAGCCGCCATTTGCTTTGAAACAGGATTGAGGACGTTCTTGAGACCGGTGCCAAAGGGAGAGCCTTGGGCTGGATCTGATGGGTAAAGGGTCATGAGCTTCGTAACCTCTTGAGGTTTGGCGCCGGGTAAGAGTTTTTGCAACCCTAAAAGTAGAGAATGTCAGCTTGAGGGTTTGGAGACCTTGAGAGATGATTTCGGACTTACAAGCTGTAACACCTGTATCATTAAAGATGTGTGCTGCTTCGACTAGGGTGCTCAACGTTCCTGAATCCTCAGCAGCTCCGACCATGATAGGAACTTTGGCAACTGTTTAAAGAAATTGGTCAAAAAGAGCTTTGATGTGAATCGAAAAGTCACGAGATAAAATTGACCTTTTCCTGCTTTGGCCGATTCCTCCATAGATCCAGTGAGGAATTTGCCATCGACATAGGCGTGGAATGGTAGAGGGAATTTACCACGGGAAAACAACCCAGGGAATGTGTTTGCGGCCGCTCTGTTGAAGACAGCTTGGTCAAATTTTACACAATCAAATTTTGATATAGAAGAGGGTGGGACTTACATCAACTTCTTGAAATCTGCCTTTCGTAGACATGCAAGTGATCCTTTCCCGACTGGGCAGCCAGCGGCTTTAACAAACTTATCGTAGGTGGCTTGTCCTTCCTCAATCTCTGCATAATAATTCAGAATGAGAATCCTGAGAGTGTTTAACATGAATCAGAATGAAAAAAACGCACTTGGACTTGGAAGGGCAACCGATCCATCAATGATGGCTGCGTGGAACAAGTCTTTTTGCTGACCATTGAAAGCAATCAAGTGATGTGAAACTGCCATTGCGCCGGCTGGAAGAATAAAGGACAAATGTTCATCTAGATTAGTCGGGGTATGGTGGGGGTGTTCGAGATGGTGGATACGTACTTTGGGAACCATACAAAGTGACCCTTCGGTGGTCTCCACCAAAGTGGTGGATATACCTCTGTTGTATAAAACATGACCATGTGCCAGATCATTAGTATTCTTTATGTGTTATATGATGTTGGTGTGTCTACTTACGTGAACCCATTCCAATGCAAGACGTTGATCTTTCAATCCTAGGTTTGCAGCGTCAGCTGCAGCGATCTCTTTGCCACCTAAAAACCCAAATGCCTGCGTAGAGATTCTGTTAGCATACATTATCAGCTTGTGTGTTAAAACGACATTGGACCTACATTTGATCTCCAATTGACAGCGACCCAGATGAACGTTTGATTGTTCATCTTACCTCGGGCCATCAAGCCCCCAGGATTGATCTCACTGGAATGTCGACTCGCTAAAACAAAGAAGCGTAAGCAGAGAACATCAGACAGTACACGGGAGGTAGCGAATGCTCACGGATGTAAAAGATGACGGGAAGCTTGGGGTTCTTGGCGACACCCGATGGCTTGATGATCTGGAGTAACACAACTCATGAGTTCGAAATCACAAGATTACAGAAACAACAACAAGACTAACATCTAGTGTCAAACAGTCTTCTTGGCCCGGATCACGATCACTGTTAGGTAGGAGAGATTTCGGTAAGGGTGCAAGAACTTCCATAACTGTTGCGTTGAATTTTTTGGGGTCTGTGCCGGCAAAAGGATCAGTCGTAGGACATCCAGGTGATGGTTTCTAACATTGTGCATTGTGTCAGATAGTCAGAACAGCGAGTCGTAGGCTATGAACAAAAGTACTAACCGTTGCATCAAACTTGGTGAAATTCTTTGTGGGTGGGATTGGGTTCGCAAATCGTCTTTCGCCGACGGGTGCTTCACCCTAAATCGAGATACCGAGACCAAAAAGATAAGTATGAGGTTTGAGAACGGGTGAATTGGATCTCTGACGTACAAAAGGAACTCCACTCCAGATGGCTAATGGTCCCTCCACTTTTCCAATGAAGTCACCGTAATCCAATTTCACACGTAATGTGGTGTTGAATGCAGCGGGTCCTGTGATGTTCTTGCGATCATCGCCGGTTCCAGTACCATTTGCTGGCGCAGTGTGATTTGAGGTACCATTGACTGGCGCAGTGATGTTTGATTTGCCAACATCGGGTGCGGTTTGGTTCACGGTACCATCATGGAGCTTGGTATTGTTGTGAGGTGCAGTTAGATTCTTGTGGTCTGTCCGATTGGATCCGGTTTTGATAGACGCGTCTTGCGCTCCTGTGGATCTCAACAGCAACTGAGAAGCAATGATGAAGAAAGGTGATATGAACATGATGGATTGAGTCTGAGTAAAAACAAACGGATGTCGGATATGAAAGCAGATAGATGAAAAGAAAATGAGTCAAAGAGTGAGTTGATGTGGAGTAAATTGTGAGGCTGACTCGAGTCAAGCTTTTATAAGGTATATTTCGAGTGATGGCCTTCACTTCAGGCTGTGTGATGCTGAAGCGAGCTGTGACCCCGCACATTGTTATTCACCCATATAAGTGGCAGGGTCTTCTACAGGGTTAATCACCACACCCTCAGAGATTAGTAGGTGCAACATAGTCCCTTACTCTTTTGCCTGATGCCGAGACGCGTGGCACTCGCGATGAAGACATCAACACAATTGGTTTCTGGGGTGAGCAGGGAGAACCGAAGGGTTGTGCAACTTTGTAGCGGTAAGCTTAACAAAGCCCCTCTTCCGAGGCGGCCACGTTCGCTCTCGAAGAAGGGCTTTAGACCCAGCAAATGGGGGTTAGAACATAACGGGGGAGTGGTCTTTCGAGCCTATCATGGGATTTATGCTTGTGTGCTAGATCACACTCTACTTGAGACTCACAGAGTCAGAGATTTGACATCCTCATGTTGCAATCTTATTCTATCACCAAGGCCCAGGCCCTTGATCCAAGCTACACAAGATCTTCACAACCCTCTAATTATACCTTGCAGAGCAGAGTTTCAGGTTTCCATCCAAGGGACTCATTGAGTATGAGTAGATGGCTACTGAGGTTTATCACAACCTTTTGTCAATTCGTGAAAGACGAATTAAAGAGCCTTTTAAGTCTATGGATTTGATCTAGGATACTTAAGCACTTAACAAATTTCCGCACATGTAACATCACATACAAGCCAAATCCTAATGATGAGTTTTCAGAATTCGCATTGAAGTTGAACTACAAAGTGATATATCCACGCCAACATAAACCATTCAACTTCAAGCAAACATGTCAACTTCAAATCAAACTACTTCACATAAGAAGCGTAAAACCAATGAAGAACCTAGTCCAGAGATACTTCCAACAGGTAAGCTAGTATATTCATTACCAACCAAAAACCATGTTCTATACTGATATTTCATTTTGATGATTGGTTGATGGTTCTTTATGTATGATAGGTACAACAGTTCGATCAATTGCTGCAGCCACTTCAGTAGAAAAAACCAAAACAAAGGAAACAACTGAACCCAATTCGAATCCATCACCTTTAAGTCGTCCAACAGTTTAGTTTTCATGTTCTATCGATTTGAGATTTTTTTAATAAATTGACTGATAGACCTTTAAAATTTGAAAAAAAAACGATTTAGTTTGATTTTACCACTTTACCATCATCAGCCATTCATAGATATCTATTATATCATCAACTCATCTCACCCAACTCACTAAACTACGATCATGCATTATTTCCAACTCGACCGATCACCTTACCTATCAAACAAGAAGCCAACACGATTGTGAGCTCTAAATCGAGTCATAAACCATCACATCATAAACCATTAGGACCGATGACGTTGACGACCTTAGGACCTACTGGATCTTTATCTTTTCTTTCGATTCCTCCTAATCCGGCTCCTAGTTTAAAAGAATTAAGATCTTTAACGGCTTTTGATGATGCTGAAGGTGTATTGGGTGATCGACTTTCGAATTTAGCTAGAACTCATTGGGATCATCAAAACTCTAGTCTTAGTCTTTCACGTGAACAAGAGATTTTGGCTAGTTTTGTTTATTCTATTAAGACTAGAGGTTAGTTTTTGTTTTAATTGAATCGTTAATTCTTTTTTTCTCGGAATCTTGGATTGAGGAATTGGTTCTTTTTTTTTCTTTTAGGAAAAGCTCTTAGACCTTCTGATCGATAGAACAAATCATATCAACATGTTTCATAGGGATATCGATCAATCATGTAATAAATGGAACTTTTCTTGTCGTTTGATCATTCTTTAAGATTTTCCTTTATTATCATTTTTTATCATTTATAATATACAAACAGTAATCTTACTTTTATTTCTCTTTTCTTTGACATTATTTTATATCTTGCTGTATGAAAAGAAACTTAAAACTAACCTAAAGAATCAAAGATGAGAAGAGTAATAAAAGAATAGTTGATCTGGGAACTTTATGTAAGGTTAGGTCATTTAGAATTCAGTGATCATCGTCCTCATGTTTCTTATATTTCTTGGTTCATGCTTGTCGTTAAAGTATTCGAGGAAAAAAAAGTAATCAAAGGTATACAACAAAACTGGTGAAAAAAAAGTCAAAACCGAACGAGTTCAATATCCCCTAGTCTACCCTGACGATGATACCTTGATCAACATAGTGATATCATACACAACGATCCGTCAAAACAGTCAGGAGACAAAAAGATCATGAGAGAAAAGAACTCGAATGTAAAAGCAATTTAAGTAAGGATCTGGACGACTGCAGCTTTGCAATATTTAGCTCCTTGTCTAAGCTACATAACAAAAAGAATCAAGAATCAAGAATCAACATTTGTAAGACATAATCAAAAAAAAAGATAAGATTGTGTTTACCATAACTTGACAACAATAACCGCCTAAAGTTTCTTCTTGAAAAACTTCATCACAAGAATAATGGGTAACATTATGGATCGTTATAATATCAGCAGGTACAGCTAAACCGGACAATAGAAAAAAAAACTGAATCAGGTTTGATTGTTTAAGTGAGTAGAGATTGATGAAGGAAAGACTTACATCTAATGTTACCTTGTTGATTGACTATACCACAGTTTGCTAAAGGATAAGCTTTAGCAGCACATAAGAAACCAGTAGAAGGAGGAGGAGTTATGACGACTGGAATGATTTTGGAAGGAGTAGTCTTAGATGTAAGGTTTGAAGAACTCTTTGATGGTGAAGTGATGGTTTTAGTAGTACTAGTAGTTGTAGAGTTTTTGACAGAAGAAGTTTTATTGGTTGAAAGACTCTTTGTTGGAGTAGTTTGAACAACTGGAGAACTTTGTACTTGTAGTAAAAGTAAAACTGAGTTTAAGAGAATGGATTTAAGAAACATGATCGTTAATGTGTATAGGTAAGTAAGAACTTGTAAATAGAAAGAAGCAGTTTCTTGCTGTAAGATTATAAAGAATTGATTTTAAGGGTAAATCAATAGATATAACTAGATCTTATATCGATTTGAATGATGTGTTGAAGAAAAGATACGATGCTTAAAGAAATAAGAAACGATTGAGGATTGTCTTTATATATTGAGTTATTTGCTTGACTATATCGCATCCAAGTTTCATTAAAACCTATTTGATCTTTCTTTCTTTCTTTCCAATTCCATATGTATACGCAAATCTTTTTTTCTTTTTCTATCAAAATTCTTTCTCTTTTTAGTTCAATCTAAGCTCATCTTCATGAACTTTAATTTTGAAGAAGAAAGCTTGATTATGTAAGTATGTAAGCGGAGGGGATGTTTGAGTAAAGTTTGATGCATTTTTCTTCATAACTTCATTCACTCTTTTAAACACATTTGGCTTGAACAATGTCCTTCAATCAAAACGTCTGTCTCTTAAAAATCCCTCATGTCTTGACACACGCGGAATTAACATGTGGATTCAGCTCGTTCAAAGCTTTCACGCCGTCGCTCGTGACCCGAGTCCTAGCATGGGAAGTACTCTTTCCATACAGTGGGTAAACCCGAGTACGTGTTCCAAGCCAGTCCGCATAGAGGTTTGGGTCCGAAATTTTTGAGAAATTTTTGCCATTTTTTCTGCTTTTTTTGGCGGGAGAGTAAGGTTGAGGGGTGGTGTTAGGCTGCAAAACTTTTGGTTTTTTTTGAAAAAAAAGCAAATTTGGTTGTTATTTGCCACTTGAGCAGCCATATTCATTAAATTATAGGCCTAGTGCGCCGCTAAGTAGCTAGATAGGTACCTAATTGAGGCCTAGGTCCGAAAATCCAAACCTCTAAAAGAGTAAAATCATATTTTTGGTCTCCAAAACCATATTCCTAGATTCATCAAAGCAATGCCTTTTCAATGGTCTGGGTGCCAGTCTCAAACATTCAAATTGAGTGCCCCGACATTGACCCGAAAGGTGAAATTTGATTTTGCAGGGCAGGTCGGAACACGTACTCGGGTTTACCCACTGTATAAACTTGACAAAGTCCCACGCTGTCGCACACGACCCAGCGAGGGACTTACGCGGACTTATCTACGCCAGGCTTGCACGCAGCCGAAGGTCAGGAACAAGAGTTTGGCTGGGGACGTCCTCCCAAGCCTTGTACCTTTTGTTTACTGAGGAATACTGCCAGACCCATCATACACATTGTGCGCGGTAGTCTTGCGCATGTTTTTTTTTGCAAGAATTTGTTAAGTTTACTCCTTTATGACTTGATAATTGACAGAAAAAGAAAGGAGCGATCATCAAGAAAATGTATGAATTTTCAAAGAAAAGAACAAGCGTCGCATTTCGGTACAATTTTACAAAGAAAAATTGCAATGATGATGATTTAATTTCAGTAATCGAAAGTGGATTAGATATTTGTAAAGAATGAATCTCATCTGGAATAAGTTAAGCTTATCTGGAATAGGTTTCCATCCTAGAAGAAATTTCGCTCATTGGTTTTCTTGCTCGTACAGTGGGTTCTTTCTAAATAGAAACCAATTGGAATTTTAAATGATCTTGGACACAATGGGGTTGATGGTCAAGCTTTATGAGAGTCACTTGTAGCTTCTTTACAAAAGAAACATAGGGAAACTCAGATCCCAGTTACGGTACGGCCTCAACTCTAAAGCAGGTGGGTATGTTGCATGTATGTTGATTCCAATGAGACGTTTCTAAATCTCTTTTATGAGATACAATGTGCATGTATATGTGGGTTTATCTTAGATCGTAGTTGATTTCCTAAAGAGATATCCAAAAAAATTCGCACCCAAGCATTATACGTACAATAGCCAAGTTTTTGAAAATTCCGAAGCCAGATGGATTGGTATGCCCCAATGTGGGCAAGATATACAAGATCTCTATATACGTATCACCAAAAGTAATTCTACATGATATCTACTGCCTTTTATGAAATCCCTATTGGATTCCACCTAAAAGATTGATATCTAAACACTTTCTATAGCCATACCTAACTTCCTTATCCTCTGCATTCCATTCTTTAATAGTAGAACCTTCAATAAACGGGTTCACAGCAATTTCTAATGCTCCTTCAAATAATCCTAAAATTGTATTAGATAAATTATCACCAGTTTGTTTGAAATCTGGACACTATTCAAATCAACAAGTTGTAAGAAGAAAAAAGTTATCTTTTTGTTGGTTGGTTTGAGATTGAGGTAAAAGGGAAAGATCAAACTTACAGCATTAACTTCCAGTAACCAAACTTTCATTGAATCATCAATCAAAAAATCAAATCCAAAGATTTCCCAACAATTCTTTCTAGTTTGAAAATTAACGGGTTCTTTATTTGCAGCTAAAAAAGTTTGATTCACGATTTCATCAATTTGGTTTTCAATCGATTTCAAGTCGATTCCTTTCCATTCATTAGCTAAAGTAGATAAAAGTTTAACAGTTGATTGTTGGTCTGTAGGGCTTTGTAAACATGTGTTGGTTAAGTGAGATGATAGGTTTAAGCTTTCAGAGCTTGGTTTCGTGTATGGTTGTGAGGCAAAGAGTGCTAAGATGTCTTTGTAGACATAAACACTTGGATAGTTTTCGATTTATCAGTGAAGATATAAAGTATGAGATCAGATGAAGGAGATTCACCTCAAGGCTCCTACTGCTAGTACATAAACCCGTAAATGATGTTTACGTCGTTCAGTGATTGGTACATCAGCCGGACCAATCAAAAGCGGATTAGATAGATATCTCTGTTTGATTCATGCAAAACAATCATTCAGCAAGTATATAAAAAGAAGAAGATAAGGACCAAAGTACATACTTGAATAACCCAATGTCTCATCTTTGAAGAAGAGACCCCAGTCTGATCCAGATTTTCTTCATCTTCTTCATCATCATCTTCATCTTCTTGATCAAACTCTTTGAAAATATTTTCTAATCCTTCAATAGAATTAAATAACCTAATCCCTTGACCTCTTTCAGCTAAAGCTGGTTTTAAAATAAACCATTCTTGATCTTCATAGTTTGAAATCTTTAAATCTTGATTTAATAAAACTTGATTTAATTCATATAATTCATCTAAAAACAATTCATCTAATTCATCAAAATAAGCTAATTCAAATCTCCAGGTTTGAGGTATAAACTTATTAAAATAAAAATATAAAGTTTTAGATAAATAATTTTTACGAATTAATGCCTAAATAAGTCAAAAACAAAAAATGATGGTTTTTGTGAATGAAACAAGTTTTATCGATCCTAGATTTTATAAAATATATATAAAGATATCCAAGGATAATCAAAAAGAGAAAAAAATGGTCAGTGTTTTTTTTCTCGGTATATGATAACTTATATTTCTTCAAGAGAAAAAGATTTGACCTTTCTTATTGGATAAGCATTTACGATGACTTCTTTAGGAAATCGTTGAACAAGTTCCCAATCAATGTTATCATAATCGGAAATTTGAATTGCCCCAATTTCTATCTGATCTGACTGCTTCGAATTCTCAATCACTTGAAGCTGAGGTAGTTTGTTTTGGATTGCATTTTTTATTGCGTTTAGAGTGTAAGGGTCTTGATAATTGATAGTGACTGTGTTGGGTTTAGGTGGATTGGTTGGCATCGTGTTTCTGATTTCCTGTTGGTCGTGGTTTGGTGGTGGAAAGCTTTTCTTTGCTCCGAGTTGGCTTCGGACTTAAACTCGAATCTATTTGAGATCGGTACCCGAAGAGACATGTGTCCGGTATCCGAACTTCGGGGTGTTGATCGAGATGAATGTGTGATCGAGTCAGAGAGTAAAGGCAATTGCAACTGGCAAGAACCACTCAGCAAGTTCTTCAAACCAGTCCCAATCAAATCAAAAAAAGACAAAATGACTCAAGAATTTAAACCCATCAGTCTTTGGTCACCAAATCCATCAACAGGAGAAAGAGGAACATCAACCAAACTATCATCAAATCAAAAATCTTTAATCACATTCGCATCTGGACGTTCAATCTTTATCAAGAACATAGACACATTAGATTCGATCTCTTATACTGGTCATATCCATCAAACTACCGTAGCCAAGTTTTCACCTTCTGGAAATTATATTGCTTCAGGTGATATTACGGGTGGGGTTAGAGTTTGGGATGTGGTGGGTGAAGATCAAGTTTTAAAAGTTGAAGTGTAGGTTCTTTTACTTTTCTTGGGTTTAGATTATTAATTCCTTTTCTTGACTGATTGTCATTTTTTTTCATGAATCAAAAATGGTTTAGTAAAGCTATTGCTGGTAGGATTAATGATTTAGCTTGGGATTCTGATAATGGTGGAAAACGGATTATTGCAGTTGGTGAAGGTAGAGAAAGATATGGACATGCGTAAGTTGAGAATAAAACTTGAAAATCCATAGAAACCTCTTTTCCTTCTCAAAAAAAGGTATCAACAACGGTAACTGATATGTTGCAGATTCTTTTCGAAATAGGTTTACGATCGATGGTGGTAATTCAGTAGGAGAAATTGGCGGTCATTCAAAGACTGTCAGAGCTGTTTGTATGAAAGCTTCAAGACCGTATCGTGCAGTGTAATTATTTCGATACATTTTCAAGATGTATCATCAGTTCTTGATAGCTTATATAAATGTGTTGCTTTGGTGGTGTTTAACTTATACATATAGAACTGCGAGTGATGATACCACTTTAGCGTGAGTCAACAAAAACTCGCGTAAAAAACCTCTTTTGAAGAAACCAAATCATTCAATATTCAAAACTAACCATTTTTCGAAACTCATTCACCAGTTTCTTTCAAGGAACTCCATACAAATACGAAAAAACGATCAAAACTCACACAAAGTTTATCCAATCGGTAGAATATTCATCAGATGATAGTCTATTTGCATCATCAGGATCGGATTCAAAAATATTTTTGTATAATGGTACCACAGGTGAAATGATTCATGAAATCAGTTTAGATGAACCACATAACGGAACGGTGTTTTCAATTAGTTGGTCTAATTCTAAACCTACTAGTTTAACTTCTTTTTCTGCTGATGGGACTATAAAGTTATGGGATACTGAAAAACAAAAACACGTAAAGTTGAGTAAAGTTTTTTTTTGACCTTTTTTATGTTTTGATTAGTTATGAATTGGTGATCTGAAATCTTGGCGGGGGTTTTTTTAGGACTTGGACAATTGCAAAGAATCCATTACCTGAACAACAACAAGTTGGTGGAACTTGGGTTGATGATCATAGGTTTTGTTCTTTATCTTATAATGGAGATATCACCGTTTTAGATGAACGAGATCCAAATCCAGTCAAAATAATTTATGTCAGTTCATTTCATTTCATTTGTTGATTTCAAAACAGTCTTGCTGAAATGTCTTGATTGATTTAAAGGGTGTACAAAAAGGAATCATATCAGCTACTAAGAATTCGAATGAATTGTATGCTGGTGATCATTCTGGAAGAGTGGTCAAGTATTCGGATCAAGGTGTTTGTGAACTTGTTGGTAAATCTAATGGGTCTAATATCATTTCGATTTCACAATCAAAATCAAAGATATACTCTATCGGATTAGATGATCAAGTTAGATCCATTGATCCGAAATCAGGTGAATATAGGTCAGTGAGCAAGCCATTAGTGCAGGAAACACATGATCAGCATAGATTTGATCATGTATCATTATGATTTCTTTTGGTGAACTCCTCTTTAGCTCTACAGAAATAGTACCTTTACCTGAGCAACCCAAAGCGATCTCAACTCGTCCAACAGTTGATAATATTTCATTAGTGGTCACTTCTAAAGAAGCTAGATTGGTGAGCGATGGTAATGCTTTGGCCACCATTCCACTTGATTATTCGGCTACAGCATGTGCATTCACTGCTGATTATGCTGCTATCGGATCTACTGTAAGTTGTCTTTCTTTTGAAATTGCCTAGTTGATCATGACACGACGTTCAAATATCTTAATATCATCTTACTTTTGAATCACCAATATAGGATGGAAAAGTACATATTTATAAATATTCATCCAATACTTTAACTCATTCCAAAACCTTGGAGTTACATAAATCATCCATCAGTACAATGTCAACTGATCCTTCTGGAAAAGTTTTAGCAAGTGGTGATGATGCTGGTAAAATTATGGTGATTGAATTAAATGAGACATTTAAGATCAAGATTAGTAATCAATGGTGTTGGCATACTGGAAAAGTGTTTAGTTTGGATTGGAATAAGGAAGGAAATTGTTTGGTTTCAGGTGGTTTAGATACTAATCTGTTTATTTGGAATTTAGAAAAACCAATGAGAAAGATTGCCATTAAGGTTCGTAATGTATTCATAACTTTTTATTAAGAATTTTTCGAGGATTTTGTCTTTTGTCATTGGTTTTGTTTTGGTTGATGAGGTCTTTTTGTTTTCTTTTGGTAGAATGCTCATGTAGGTGGTACTACAATGGTAGGTTGGGAAAATAAAAATCAGGATGATAAAAAACCTATGATCATTTCTTGTGGAGCAGATGGAGCGGTTAGAAGATTTCAATTAGATTTAACTAAATTAAAAGCCTAAGAGTCTCAGAGATCTGTAGATGAAAATAGGATGAAATTGTATTTTTTTTTGTATGAAGCTGAAATTCGTGAATGAATGAAATTCAAGAACATTTTTGTGATGTGTAGAAAGTTATATTTGTTGTTTATGTTGGTGCAATGTGAAATGAAATGCAATGAACTTGTGTGGATGAGAGGGAACGAAAGGATAAGTTTGCTTGTTATGGGTTTAAGAATATAGAGACTGATTTTGGTCTGTTTGATACTCTGTCAGCATTTTTTGGTAACATATTGATCATATTGTATCGTTGTTCGGTTGAGAACCAGTATGACACCCTGAAGTTTGTCACCATTGACAGTTAAAGGGAGCGCGTTCTAGTGCTACTAGTACTAACCCGAAGTTCGATGACACCATTAAAATTACTAAGAAAGTCATACACAGGTCAACGAGGTCATCGAGGAAACGGCTTCATGGGGACATTTATGCGTAACTCCTAAATGAGGAAAATTGTTCAACTTGTTCAAAGAAACTCGAATAAGTAATCCTTGGTTTCCCGTTCTCAACACTTCAAATATCACCAAATACGCATCCATGATGTATCATTCAAAAAAAACCAGTCTCAATGTGAAAAGGTACTTGGGTGCACCTGAAGTAGAAAGTACTCAGGAACACAACTGTGCAGCTTACAATCAAGACTGCAAGATGAACAGAGGTAGTTTGATTTTTGTTTGCGGCCCAAAATTGTTTGAGATACCAAGAAAAGTCAGGTTGCAGCCAATGGCTGCAAACCCGGTCTTCAAAGTACATAGTGTTATGGGCAATAAATCATGACTTCTCAAATGTGATATGAAATGAAAAACTAAAAGAAATGTAAGACAAAGATAAGTAAGACAATCAAAGTAAATGTTCTTGAAATATTAGAATGAGATCGGACCACAAATAATCAAAAGATGAAGAGGCTCGAGAACATATTGATCATGTTGGTCACAGAAACAAAATTTGAAAGAAATGGAGATGTAAAGAGTAGTACAAAAGGATTTAAAAAATACCGAGTATACTAAAAGTATCACTTACAACCTTCCCATTATTTAGAACTTTCTTCGAGACACTATCTACAGCATCTTGAACGATTTTAATACCAGGTAAGGTAGCTAAATTAAGTTTGATACCTACTTTGACCATGAAACTAGGATCTATTGAGTCACCATAAGAATTTATCATCGAGTTTATATCTACTCCTCCCACCTTTAAGAAGGAAACTAATATGTTTAGTGGTAATTGAAGTCTAAGTAACCCGACTGTTATTGAAGAAAACATAGTAGTCAGCTTGATGGTTGGATTTCATAGATAGAAGTGATTTGTAACATACCTTCATAAGTTGAAAAGTGAGGACTACCGTGTAGGATTTTAATCAAGATTTGAAGTTGGGTTAAACATTCAAAGAAAAGGTTAGATAGAGTAGACTATGAAAATATGGATTCAATTAAGCAAGCAAAATCAGTAAATCGCACTCAAACTGATCTCCAATTCATAAAAGAAAAATGTACTTGTTCATGATGAGATTATAGGAAAAAAACTTACAGCTAAGTTAGCATCAACAGAAGCAGCAACTCCACATTTGGATCCTAAAGAAGCAAATGACTGTCTAATATCGATTAAACCACTCAAGATCTTCTGATCATCACCACATTTCGTTGCGTCTGTAAAGATAGGTATATAATTTTCTAAACTCGTTTCACAATCTTGAAAATCTGTTGTGAGTGATTCTTGATCTATTGTACGTTTATTTAGGGTTAAAATCTTCGAATGTAAAGAGTGGGATTCGATGATTGGTGCTATTTTTTTTTACCAAAATCGATAAAAATACAAATCATTCATGGTTGACCTCGATTGTGTCATGATGCCGAGATATGTAGAACTTTTGAAAAGTAAAGGAAAGGGGACATGTGCAAGACGTACCTGTCAAAGCAAAGAGTGAAAGGATTGTACTAATTAACATTCTTGTAATAATACGAAAGCTGGTTGTGAGTTAAATTGGCGGACGCTTTCAAAGACTTATAAAAAATGATTGTGATGATAGGAATTCAAAGTCAAATAGTCTGTTAAAAGGTAACTGAGGAAACCTTGAAATAAAAAATCATAGAAACCTGAAGCGAGTTAATTGAGGTGCTCAAACAATTACAAGATCTTTCTTTGTGGATTTTCCCGTGTTCTTTCCTCATTTGTATCGAGTTAAGTGAAATGACTGCACGTGCTTGGACTGATTGGTAATGATCTGGAATTTATCTCTGGGTTTAATGATGAGCTTCACCCGATTAGGGTGGAAGATTGCGAGCTTCTCAGCGTGAATTGGTCGAGAATTTTAGCGACATAGGGTACACAGTGTACACTATGTCGTCAACGCTCGGATCTCAGTGTTGCGATAACGGGAAACGGTACGGTGAGGTACGGTCAGCAACGTACACCACGGGAGGGTCTTTTGTCAGAAATTGGCCTGACGCCGTCTGAGAATGGCCAGGTCAAAATACGGCCTGAAGACCGACTCAAAGCCCATTTATAGGCGGGCTGCTGGCGGTCATATTTCCGGCGTGTAAATCTGAGAAAGATTCAGATTGATAGTGGTCTGCAGGCCATCAGTAGGCGGCCTGCTGCCTGGCATCCCTCATGGACCAACAATCTGCCTGCAAAAGGCCAACAGACCGCCACCAGACAGCACCAGAGGGAGCACCAGAGGATTGCCGGAGATTGGGAATGGGATGGGAATGGGAATGGGAGCTGTATGAATGAATGGGCATACAGGAGTTGGTCAACACCCAATTGGTCTGCACTTTTCTTTTGAAACATCCAACAGAGCGCCACACCGTTGGCTTCGTGTATATGTATGTACACAGAGTTACGTTCTTTCCAATGATCACCGAGCGTTGAAAGGATTTGCAGTTCGAGAGCAGGAGCATCATCATCTCATACGCGCTTCAAAGCAACATATCGATCGAAATCGATGAGGCAAACAAGCAAAGCTCTCGGATGTATTAGTTTGAAAAACGATGTTTTTTTGACTAAACACTAATGGCTCAATCGAATATTATAAGCTGAGATAATCAAAAATGACTCAAGATCGTAAGAAAGAAACCAGTTAAGAGCGTACGCTAGACCAAACAGCACCACCAGCTTGTCAAACCAAGGATTGGCCTGTCTGAATTTCAGAGCACTTCAAGGGAGAGAAACACGATAAAGAAAGTAGAACAAGTCATTTGATCGACTCTCTTCCGATCATTGTCAGGTTAGTCTTGTCCTCAGAACGTTCTGATCAATGGCGCTTGATCGATGCTGATTAAAAAGTGACAGCTATCGAGGGTTTTTCATCCGGCCCTCCAGTAGGTCCTTTCATTTGCAACCCTTTACAACCCCTATAACTCAACTTAAGTCAGAGAAATCATCTGAAGAACTTGGAAGACTCTGATTTTGATGTTATGATGGGTCTGGTCAAGATTATCGAAATGTAATGTAGTCTTATGTCGCACGCTCCGTTGTTGTACTCAAAATGCATTAAAAACATATGCAAGGTACGGTTTCTATGCCGGCCGATGGGACGAATGTTTACTGTTGAAGCTTATATGTGTGGTACAGTCCTAGACTAAAATCTTGTACGGCTAGAGAGATATCTTTGTAGCGGGGTTAGGTTAGAGCACTTATATAGCCTCGCACCACCCGGTTCTTTCCCTTCTTCACCATCAAAGATTGGAGTAGTTCTCGGACCGGGTGAAGCGACGAGTGCTTACCTGCTGCTTTAACAGGTTAGTTTCTTTTGCAATTACCATCGAAGATTGGAGTAGTTCTCAGACCGGGTGAAGCGACGAGTGCTTACCTGCTGCTTTAACAGGTTTTGAGTCCCAGTTGCGATACCAGCTGTAGATTGTTGTAGATGATTGGTTCTGCTTAAAATTTTTTGACCAACCAATGATAACCAGATCAAGTTCTAAAAAGAAACCATCAGATAGCAACAACGACGCCCAAGAGCCCGAGAACAACACCGATCGAGATAACACCGACTCCGATAGAGACGTCGACTTGATACCACCTAAAGATCAAGATTTAGATTCGATTAAAGATTTATTAGATATCAAAACAGAAGATCTAGAAACAAGTTCAGTTTTAATTTCAAGTTCAAAGCCTTCGACGATGTCGCAAGCACCGCCACCTCACAAAGATAACGATCATTACACCACGATGAATTTCTTTATTAAGATGCCTCAGCTGGTTGCTGCTAGCATACAGCAGTTAAATGAGTCCGGTTCCAACTATCTGATCTGGAAGAACGATTTATGTGTTATTATTGATGCAGTTACATCGATTGATGGTTATCTCGAACGAGACCGAAGAGAGATACCTGGTGATCACACGATAGCTTTGATGATCCGTGCTTCGATTTGTAACGACCTTAGACATCAGATCGATACTAAGAAGTCAGCTTTCGAAGTTTTCAATTTTTTAAGATCTATGTTTCATTTTCAAAGTCGCTCGACTCATCTCAGCTTGTGGCAAGAAATCCTACAAGCAAAGATTGATTCACCATCTGAAGTCTCAGCTCACATCAAGATGGTCAAATCGAAGATAGAGGAATTAAAACGCACCGGTTTCTCTTTTACTGAAGACTCGTTCTTAGGCATAGCGATGCAACTCGGCTTACCATCAGCCTTCTCCAACATCAACACCATCCTAGATTCTCGCCTACGAAACACTCCCGATGTCACGATCACGGCTCGAGAGACTGAAGAAGCAATCAGGAACGAGACTCACCGTTTGATGTCCTTAGCTCCAGAGCTTTTACCAAATCTGTCTGCGCTCAATATCAATGATCGTTCTAACTATACCCCTCGTTATCAACCCCCGACCTCGCAACGCTCGGAATCCCAACGGCCAACTCAATACTCATCTCGTACGCCTTCGAAAACGCTATCTAAACAGCAATTTAGGGTGATGCCGAACACACCTGCGCATCTTCGACACTGTTTTACGTGTGGTGGTGAAGGTCACTGGAGTGAAAACCCGATCTGCCCCAAGTGGGATGCTTCCAAATACTCAACCCCTCAGTCCTCATCCCGTGGTCAATTCAGAGCGAACTTAGCGGAAACGTCGAACTACGATAACTCCCCCTTACCACATGCTGTTTATAGTAGCGAAGGTGCTCTGACTGAAGACTGGAATGAAGGAGAGGCGGTGCTTGACTCAGGGGCGACTCATCATGTCACCAATGAGGTGGGTGCCTTAATCAACTACACTCATCTTCGGTCCCCAATTCCCCTCCATGTTGCAACTGAATCTGAAGGCAACTTTCTCACAGGGATCGGCTCGTTAATGCTCAAAAGCGATTTGGGTACATCTATTAAAATCAAGGATGTGTATTTCTGTGAAAGAGCAAAAGGAACTTTAATTTCCATGGCAGCTCTGGTGGAGGATGGATATGTTTTCTCTTTTTCTGGATATGATTTAACTTTGTCTCATGGATCTCATACTTTAACGTCGAAATACAAGAATCGCCGATGGCTAGTTCCTATCATCACAAAACCCCCTAAAATAACTGCTCCTCAGACCCGTGTCTCATCCTACCGCGCTCGCGTGTTTACCAAAGAAGAAAGTGATGAAGCTTTGAGGTGGCATAAACGCTTCGGACACGTAGGTCTCAGAGTGATCCAACGGCTGCTAAGCAAAGAAATGTCGACAGGACTTCCCGAGCATTTAGTGAACGCACCATTCCAATGCCCTGACTGTCTGATTAGCAAAAGCCTCCGACATCAAACGATGGGTCCGTCGGGAAGAGAACGGCCCCAACCGCTTGATTTGATTGTTTCGGACATAGCTGGACCTTTTGATGGAGAGCTTTTTGGTTTCAAATATATGATTACTTTTAGAGACCTGGCTACGACCTTTACCGATGTTGTGATTTTGAAATCAAGAGATCAAGCACCAAGTGCATTTCAGGAGTTTGTACTGAAGATGGAACGTCAAACGTC